ATTTATCTAAAGATGCTGAGAGAAAAGCAATGCTATCTTTAAACTGCAATGAACCAAATGAAAATGGAATAAACTTTTCGCTATAATGAAAAAATACTGGTATCTTGAAATATCTAAATGAATAATCCAAATTACATTTTTATACATACCAGTAAAATGACAGTGGTCGCGAACTTTTATATCTTCTGGTTTAAAATTATTATTACATATTGAACATACAGTAGCTTTTCTAAATTCTGCTTCTTGTTCATCTGTAATATCCATTGGTTTACTAACATTCATTTTATCAAAAATATTGTTTTTTTTAATTTCTCGTAATTTATTTACAAAGTGGTCTAAACAATCCTCTCCACGGTATAAATAAGGTTGGCTTGTGTTATCAATAGAATTTACAACATTCAACATATAACCGCATGGTTTATGTTCCTGATACGTGCCCTTGATGCCATTAATTGAATTTACAGTTATACACTCAAAATCTTCATAAAAAACAAATGGACATTTTAATTTTGTATTGTATTTTTCAAATTCAATATAACTACCTTCTTTTGGTAATTTAAACTGTTGTCCGTGTGTTGCCATACAACCAGTTTAACAATGTTTCGTTAATAAATCCTTTCTAGTAAAAGCATGAGTACAATAATGACAATAATGTTTTGGTTGGTCATTTTTGTTTGTTTGCCAGTTCATCAAACGACTTAGATTTTTAATAACAACATAGTGATGGTTATTTTCTGCTTCAATTGTCAAAAGGTTTATTTGATGTTTAGCATCTCTTGTTTTAGTCCTGTAATCAGTTATATGTGTTGTCATTCAAAGTATCATCAATTTCATAAACATTTATTGAAACTAACGTGCTATTATTTTCTTCAAACCTTTCAATATCTTTATTACCAGTTGGAAATTTAACGCCTTCCCAGTTCAAAATGTCATCGTTTAATTTGTTGTAATGAAACATTTCTTGAGAATTCGGTTTATTATTTATATCATATACTACACTTTGAACACTATATTTAAAACATTTGTTATCTTTGTTTTTGATATTAATACATGCCTTTTTTAGTTTAATCCATTCTGGTAAATCTATATAACTACCCGCTCTTGTTGGGTCATATTTGTCAAAATGGATGGTTATTGATAATATGTTTTCTTAAATTATAAATTAGACGCTGAACCTTCTAGTTTCTCTATGTTCAACAAAATTTATTTGATTGATTTTTCATTTGCTTCATCCAAATCGGTTTCATTATAAACGTTAGACCTTGTAGCTGGTAAATTATAAACTATCTCTGTATGTCTTATTACTCCTTTATCATCATCAAAATAATGATAAAATAAACCTTCTGCCCTTATATTCAATTTCATTCCTCTATTAGATTTCAAGAAGTTCAACAGTCTATCTTTTTGGTGGTGTATCATTGATAACGCCTTTTCACCTTGAAAATGTTTATTTACTAGTTTTATAGAATTAGCATAACTTTTGAATGCTGATTGTTGGTCTGTTATTCTGAATTTGTTTTTTATAGCGTTTTTTGTCATGGCATTGTTCATTCTTTGTTTAAGGTATGTTGAGCGAATTGTTCTTGTAGCATGACTATTATATTCATTGGTGTTTGCTACTGATTTTAATTTCTTGTTCAAAACATTCGAGATAGGTTTTTCTTTATTGTATCTAAATGTTCTACCATCTATAATGATTTATTTTAATTCCTTGTTTCCTCTTTTTGGAATTTCCGCTTTATCATTATTCAACAAATAATCTACAACATGGTTCATAATACTATAATACTATACTATATAAATTTAATGTGTGTTTATTTCTTTAAGTGACTTTTTAGAAAATATACTTAAAGATTTAATACCTTAATAGAATAAGAGGAAAATGAGTGATACAGAAAGTGAATATAGTGAAAATAGTGAAAATAGTGAATAGTGAATATAGTGAATATAGTGATACAGTCGGTGTCGATGCTAAAACTATAATGAAACAAAAGTTTATCAGTTATAAATGTATAGACTGTGAGATGCTTAAGTTTCCAATTAAACAGGGTTTTATAGATGGTGTTAGTAATAGTATTTGTCAATATATGATATGCAATAATTGCAATAAAATTATAAACAAAATTGATGATATGAGTAACGAGGATATTGATAATAGAAATGCTAAAACTCTTGATGATGATTTAGAAACATTTGTGTTTATTGAAATGACTAATTTCTTGACTGAAGAAGAATTCGATAATTTATTAGATGATGGAAGTGATAATGATTTTACTTATACGTATTATAGCATCGTAAAAATATTATACAATATGTATTTTAGCATTAAACGTTTAAATCATGATGCAATGAATGATAATGACTTTGATTTTGTAAATGAGTTTTAAATTGTAAGTATAAAGCTCGTGAACTTAGATATACAGTAACACATGCAGTTCATGTAATGGGTTTTTTAGAAAAGAAAGAGGAAATAATATTTATAATGAAAAAACAGCTGATAAAATAATGAAACAAATTATAAAAGAATTCTAAAATTAAATAGAAATAGAGTTGCACTCATAATATAATTATAACATGTAAAATTGTATATGTTATAATTATACTATACTTATGGTTTGTTTCTTAATTGTTCTTAATGCCTAAAAATGACTTAAAGAAATAGTGCCTCAATATAATAAGAGGAAAATGAACGGTGATAAAATCAATAATTATATCAATAAAACATGCTATGATTGTTGTCACTTCAAAAAGGAAAATATGGAATTGTATAAATTGAATTTACCTAATGAAATAGTGAATAATATTATTAATTATTCAATGGATGAAGAAGACGAATGTGAAAATTGCATAAATTGGAGAGATAATCAAACTTTAATCAAATGTGTGTTGGGAATAAAAAGAATACATACTAGAAATGTAGAAGATGAGATTCTAACATTTCTAACTGTAAATAAAATACCACCTTACGATTATGTTAAACAGTTTCTTAAAATCAGTAAGAAAAATATAAAATGATTGATGATATATTCTGGATGTTGGGTTATTGTCAAAGGAGAGGAGAAGATGTTAAATTAAATAAAATATCAAATTATTCATTGAAAGTAACAAGTTTAATGTTCAAAATACAGTGAGAGTGAGAGATATTAATACTATTTTTAAAATGATGTATGAAAGAAGTAAGACGAATCCACTAAATTATTATCCTGAACTGAAATTATAATCATAATATATCATAATATAATAATAACATGTAAAATATTATATGTTATAATTATACTATACTTATGGTTTGTAAAGATTGAACTATTTTAATTTTCCTTAATTTGGTTATCTCTTTCAAAGTGCGTTGTTTGAACTTGGTATGCTCTTTTGATTTTTTCGTGCTTTGACTGTTTGTATTTTATTTTGTTTGATACTCTTCTGATATTTGTTATTGTTATACTGCGTTGAAATTTGTTGGTGTGTGATTTTGAGTTTGTGTTCTTTGATGGTTTTTAGTTTTGTTGTTTTGTTGGTATGCTTGATTGAATTATTTAATGTTGTATGCTGTGATTAAATATGTTGTTGGGGGTTGTTCTGGTATTTGAGTTGCTTGGTGGTTCTTATCTTGTTTTCTGTGGATTGTGTGTATTTTGTTTTATGCTGTTTGAATATTTGGTTTTTGATTTTAGAAATGCCGTTTTAACCCTTTTTTCCCCCTCACCAAAATAACAAGAAAAGAAGACAAAACACAAAAACAACAAAACTAACAACTAGGTCCTCCAGTAGAGGGGTTGGAATAGGGGTGCCCTTTTCTCTGTAGCCTATTTTAGTAGGGGAACCCTCCCCCAAAAAAGGGTAAAAGGCACTACTGGGGGACCTAGACAACATGCATCTAACAGGGCCTCCCGGAGGAAGGAACCAACAAGGGTTCCCCATGGACCGACCCATGTTGCATGGAACAAAAATGGGGAAGCAATAGCAGGGAATCAGGGAATGACCCCAAGCCATCCTCGCTGTGGTTTCCTTTCAGGTCCCAACACTCGGGCCCGGTTGCTCTCTACCTATCCCAGCAAGTTTCTCTTCCATTAGCTTAAGCCACCTGGAAAAAATATGTCCGGTAGAAGCCAAAAAGGGGAAAACATAAAATAATAAAAGCCAGCACATCCCACCTATTCTGATGACCACAGCTGCGATTCAAACAGTAAGTCTTGGCTCGCCGGCTTCTTGGGCACACAGCCGCGGATGACGCAGGTCCCTTGGCGGCATGACATGGGTGTTCGATTTCTCGGGCGACATGCGACGACGCTGGTGCGATAGGGCTTGGGAAAGACCGAGTGTGGGTGTTGGGAATAGGTGTGAGGGCTGAGGATTCCCTTAAAGGAAATTCTGCGGGATGGTTTATAGGTGTCATTCCCTCATTCCCTGATGAGAACCAGCAAGCATGGCGCGGAGCATGGACGGTGCTAGCTCAACAGGAATGGGTCTGTATTTGTTTAGGGGTGTCGGTTCAAAAGGCAACCCTGGATTTTGAAAGGCTGCTGGGCTACATTAAGCAAAACATCCCCTGAAACCAAGGATTTTGATCTAAATCAGTTGGTCTCACTGATGCAAATCAGAAGGTCCCCTGCCCCCCCCCCCCCTCCCCCCCCCCTCCCCCCCCCCTCCCCCCCCACCCCCGGCACCCGCCCTTCTACACGATGCTCCTTTTACCCCATAGTACCAAGGCTGCGGGCTCCTGTCAGGACCCGAACTGAAGCCAAGAACCTTCCCTTTTCAACCACCTTGCTGGCCCCAACTAACCAGCCTGGGGGGTGTTTGCTCAAAAAGTAAAGAATCCCCTTGTCAATAAGCTGAGGAGCCTGGCAAGGGATTGCTTGTGAGGATTTCCTGGGCACCCCATTGATCTGGCTGCCCTCAAACAACCCCCAAGACAAGGCAAAAAGTGGGCCAAATGGAAGCCTCAACTCAGATCGATTGGATGGGCCGGAAGAAAAACAAAACAAAAACACTCAGTGGGTCTAATGCATGCAGTGCAGGAATTCAGGAAGTGAGCTTTGCAGCGCCAACAAGTGACCCTTGGTCCAGTTGGCCTCAGGAAGCTGCAGACAACCGGAGACACGCACGCCGCGACTCGGCCCCGAACGCCCCGCGCTGAGACCCGGCCACTCTTGGGCTCCGGGCCACCCAGACCGCCGGCCTCGTGCTTGGTGCTCACAATGGCAAAGGGCAGCTCTGCCAACGCCACCTGTCGGATATTTCTTTCTCGCGCTGACAGCCGGCTTTCGCCCCGGGCCCCGTTTTGCGCAGGGAGGGGTTGATGTGGAAAATGTTTGGGCGTATGGGACCCATCCGTGCTCACAAAAAGGAAGTGTGTGTTTTGTTCGTGTTTGTGCAAAAACCCGAAAGGTAAAGTGGGGATCGAAAATTGGGTTTGGGGGTTGGGGTTCGCAGAAGCCCTGCCCAGGACAGGTTGGGTCAACTAAACAACCGATGTTTTGCCCCAGGAGGGGGGGGGGAAGGGGAATTAGGTTTCTTCGGCTCCCCATTTGCAGAGTTTTTGTTTGGCAAGGTACTGCTGATGACGTATCAGACGCCTACGCCGGCGCCTACGCCATGTGCAAATACCATGCGGGACGGCCTGCACGAGGTGTACGTTGGCCTCGGTCAGCCTTAACAGGCCTACGCGAGCCTTCGCGGTTAGAGTTTTGCTGTCAAGTGACTATGCGGTGTGCGTTTCGTGCTCAAACTCGTACGTGCGCACCTACTGGCAACCTTTCAAGTCGAGCCTACGCTGTGCCTACGCGAGAACAAGAAGTGGCTACGCACGCCGACGCGCAGCCAGTAATTTGCCTACGCGAGGCGTGATATGTCCACTCTCTTTTTGCCCCTCTTGCCACCGCAAAAGACTCCGCTCATTTGATGGTCTTCATCCCTGGCCCCTTGGCTGCCCCAGAATCTAAAGCTGGAAACTTGTTCAAGCCAGGCGTAGAATTGGCGGGCTTTGTTGGGCTTGGTGGATGGTTCAAGCCAGAAGGAAACCCGGCAACCTCATGGGTCCGCAAGGTGTGGACGGCCTTTAACAGTGGCCGTGATACGACGCTTGCCTCTCCTCACAGGGCTCCCTATATTTCCCCTCAAAACATCACCCTGCCACGGGAAACTCACCTTCAACGGGCCAAAAGGTGATGTTTAAGAACTACCAAAATGGGACATATAGGGACCCCTGCCTAACGTTGGCCTCTTCATCCCATGCTGTACCTGCTGCAGGGCTGCCTATGTTTCCCTTTGACAAGGGAAAACCCACCGCAATGGGTCCAAAAGGGGCTGCTTACAACCAGAAGGGGAAACATTAGGAACCCCTCGTGAGTTTTTCTCTCGACATCAGGATCCAAAATACAAAAACAAGTTTGGAAGACAGCGATATTTGAAACCACCAAACGCGGAAGTGTAGCCTACACACAGAATATATATATATATATGTATACAGAAGGGGTCGTCATGGGGGCTGAGTTTTTTCAGATTCCTGGGGGCTGAGTTTTTTAGATTCCTGGGGGCTGAGTTTTTTCAGCAAAAAACTAAAACACCAAAAAAACAAAAAAACAAAAAAAAACCTTAAAAAAAAAACCGCCCATCATCTGCATCTTCTAGTTCAGGGCCATGGGTCTGTTTGTTTTTTTTTGGTTTTCTATGCCTTTGCTCATAAACACCAAGAAAACCAAAAACAAAAACAAAAAAAACACAGCCCATCATCTGCATCTGCTAGTTCAGGGCCATGGGTCTGTTTTTTTGTGCCTTTGCTCATAAACACCAAGAAAACCAAAAAACACAGCCCATCATCTGAAGACAATACTTTGTTGATGCTTTCTTGATGCAAGCTTTCTTGATGCAAGACATCAAAATTATGATGAGATGTGTATCAACAGAACATAAGCCTCTTCCAAGATATTCTGCAGGTAACTCCGGGTAACTGGAGATAATTTATCTCATCTCTCATTTCATCTTCTGCAGGTAACATCTCATCACAAGCAATTGCTTGTGGCTTGTGTCTACTTGAATCTATTCTGAACAGCTTTACTGTTGCAAGAGCTCTTCAGCAACACGGATAGCTGCAGAGAATCTTATTCCAAAGCTCTTATTCCAAAGCTGAACAGCTTTATGCAGAGAATGGTATTTGCATTTGCAGATATCGTTGCAGGTGCTCATCTTTGCATCTTGTGCTTCTTGAGCTCAAGCAACTAGATTGGAGCTGTGCTCCAATTGCTCCGGCTCATTATGCGATAAATATGTTTGTGTTAGCTGTCTTTTCTCAAGAGCATGGGCAGAGCCCATGCGTATATTGTAAAATATTGAACATCCAACTGTAAAAAGAGATGAGTCTTGCAGCTGTCAGCTGCATAGATCAGTGATATCTTACCTTTCTTATGATTTCATATGCGTGGCAAGCTGTGCTTGCCATACTTACGTGTTTCAGAATTGCAACACAACAACAATATTTGTCCCAAACATACATCTGCTTGCAGATTGCTAAGCATACGTCTTCCAAAATATTGCATACGTATGCAACTTGTGTTGAAGATTTGTGCCAAACATACGTCTTCCAAAAGTTAGCACCCTGAGGTTTATAAACTTGGCATGCGAAAGCATGCCAATTCTCCAAAAATAAGCTACAGACACACGTTTGCTAAATATTTGTGTCCAACAATGATATTTGTGCAAAATAGTTTTCAACAGGCTGTCTTCTGTGCAGATTGAAGCTAGCTCATTTTCCAGGTCTGGATGCATCTGAGTCTTCATTGGATCGAAAATGAATCTGTGCTTGCATGTCATCAGCCAAAAAAACAAAAACGCACCCCAATAAATCTAAGAGGTCACGGGTCTTGATCGTATATTTTTGGTATTTTTTTAATGTTTTTAATGGAAAAACTCAGCCCCCAAGAATCTGAAAAACTCAGCCCCCAGGAATCTGAAAAACTCAGCCCCCAGGAATCTGAAAAACTCAGCCCCCATGCCGACCCGCCCTCTATGTATATGTGTGTGTGCGCATCCTGCGCACCAACTGTCTCCCCCTGGCTCGCGGAGACCGAAAAACGAAAGAGACATCTGGCCTTCGCCCCATACTGCATCGCAGCCCATCTGGATCCCCGTACACCTCCGCTCCCGCCGCCAATGGTGAACAGGTCGAAGTCGTACCTTTCCCACACCAGGAAAAATACAGGGGCTAGACGTGTACAAAAACAAAAGAAAGCTGCACCTTTAGAGCGAAGCCCCAATGCCTGAAGCGAGGAAGGAATGGGAAGAAAGCAACTCCCCAAGTAGGGACATTCATCATGGGTGAGCTCGTCATTTTGGGAGTCGACAATACAAATGGCCTTGCTATTGGCCCCCTGAATGAAGTCCGGATTCATGGTCCGCACCATCCTGGTGATCGCCCCTACAACTTCGTTAGCTCCTAGGGTTTACATGTGAGAGGTTTCCTCACTTGCCAAAGGCCCCACAAAAGGCTGAGCTTTCAGAACCTTGGCTCAACTTGGCCAGACTTACACCCCCCCCCCCCGCCCGCAGCAAAAGGAAAAAAATAAAGACCTGCCAAAATGACGAGAAAAACCGAAACAGTTCGTGTGAAGTCTGGCACGGCCACTGTAGAACCAGAAGGTTGCAAGCTCGTGTCGCTTTGAACGACTGCGTTCCGGTCCATATTCAGCCAACCTGACAAGATGGCACTTCAACATAAAGGCAAACGCCGAACTGTGGATGGGCGAAATCCTGCACCACTTTGAAACCATGGGAAACCATTGTTCGTTTGCATTTACAGGGGAATCATCATTCCAGGGATTCTTGAATGGTGCGAACGGATTTCTTCCCATCCACAGTATGTGTGTGTGTGCTTTTTGAGGGTATGCATCTCTCCCATTCGCACCAATTGGTAGTTGGTTCATCCCCCGGTTGGGTTTCATCATGGAATTTCACAGGATGTCATAGTTCTTTTCCTCACGGGGTTCATCAAGTGTTCATAGGGTTTTGCATACGTATAGTGTTCATAGCTTAAAAAAACGAAGCTTTCACATCCATCCGTCGATCGGATTCTTTGTCCATCGGTGCCAAGGAGGCACTCACGCTTGGAGGCACTCACGCTCGCCAACCTACCGTCGCTCTGAGCTTGGACGACCCAAAGCCAGGGCTGTTGGGGTCTAAGAAGGGTTTTGAGGCTCCTTTAAGGAAAACTGGTGGAAAGGAACCCCAGGGTTTTTTTCAACTACCCAGTTTTCTTGCACCCCTACCCTCCCAAACGGATTCCAGAACCCGATTGCTGAAATGTGCCCGTTCGGCAACCAGGGGTTTGTTCATCAATCCTGGGTCGGCCTTTTCACCAGAGAGTTATCCGAGAAGAACGTTTTGGGGAACCCGCCCAGAACAATTTCTGAACATAAGCCATACTACCCAGACGCTCATGGACTCTTCTTTTGTCCGACCCCCAAAAAGTGTTGGAAAAGGCATGAAAAATACACAGTTTGGAAGATCAGGTATCTTCGAAGGTCCAGACCGTTATTGGAAGCCTTTGGGTAACTGGTATACGGTCAGCATTCCCCTCGAAGCCCAACAAGCAGACAGAGAAAACCGCCTGAAAGCAAATGGGAAGACGGCGGCTCCTCACCCCTAATCCGCTCCCCCTATTTTGTTTAGACCCCAATTATTTTTTTATTAAAAAAAAAACGAAATCCGGGGCCCGGGACCAGATTTCCACTCCGCACAATTGATTTTTAATTAAGCCAATACTAAACCCTTACTACAGTCTTGGGATCCTTATTAGGGGGCACTTTTAACAAGCTTCCAGCCCCACTTTTAAAAAGGTGGGTTCCCCAAAAGATGAATTCCCCAAAAGGTTGCTTCCCCAGAAGGTGGGTTCCCCAAAAGGTTGGGTCCTAACTGTGCCTTGCTGACTACTGGCTGCCTTCCTATCACTGAATGCATGTCTGCCTCCTCGGGCACTGGACTGTCTAGCAGTCAATCGCACATGCTGGCAACCTGACCTGCCTGGCTGCCCCCCAAAAGTTTTTTTGATCCTTTAATTATTGGGGTGTCCCTCAAAGAAAACATGTCCCCAAAAGCTGTCTAGCTGCAACTGTCTCTCTCCCGTACATGCTGGATAATTAACTACCTAACCTGCCTGGCTGCAAGCAAACAAACAGTAAACTGAAAAACAACAACAATGATACATAAAACTTCCTTATTAAACCGCTTACTCACGGACCTTACAATTCAATCCATTTCCTCCAAATCCTATGTGAACCCTCACATTGTTGGAAAAGCAAAAAAAAAAACAATTCCGAAAACCCCAAGTAAAAAAACATGTGAGGATTCTTTTATTAATAGGGGGAAGGGACTACAAGAAAAAAGCTACGCAAGAGAAACCAGCACACAAACATTCTCGGGTGGAGATGCAGCTGCATCCTTGTGTTCCAAGGGAAAACAGAAGGTTGACCATTCGCGGGATGTGACTTGAAGGTGCCAGCAAGTTGCTCTTCACCTCGGTGATAACCCACTTTTGAGCTCCTCACTGGAGTTAACCCCTGCGTTGTAACGCAAGTGGGCAACGTACAAACTTGGCGACGAACACCCAAGCGCTCCGCCAAAAAACAACAACAGGTTGGGCAACCACTTTCAAACTTGGCGACGAACACCCAAACGCTCCGGAAAAAAAAGAAGGAACAAACAAAGGAAAAAACAAATAGGAAAACACAAAAACACGTGGGTCCAATCCATCTCCGCCGCCCATCGCTCGCCTCCGCGCACCGAAGTTGAGGCCACGCCGACTGCGCCGGGCCACCGCGGTCTGGGCCGGGGGCAAAAAATGATGGGAGCGCCTTCCGGGTGCAAGGCCTTCGGAGGGTATGCGCGGAATTCCTTTGTTGAGTTGCTTGGCTTCAGTTGTCTGGGAGGTGGCAGATGTTGCTGGGATGTATATTATTCGCCGCGGTGTCTTGGTTTGGCGGGTTTGGGAGGGTGGCGTTAGGTTTCTCTTTCAGGTCCCATTTCGCTTGGCCCACCGGATTGAGGAGTCAAGTTGAAGAAGAAGACTGCACTGACAACAACTTTCCTGAGAATCATCAATCCTGGCCAGCCCCGAATCACTTTTCCAAATTGGGCCAGCCCCAAAAAACGTTCAAGTTGTTCTAAAACCTCCCAAGTATTTTATCACTGGATTGAATATTCAAGATTGAAATATATTCCGAGAATCTTGTCCTCTCGCTTTGTAATTCCAGAAATCGTGGGAACTTGGAGACATGCATATGACTGCAAATGGGTGCGCATACTTGGTTGCGGAAGTACGTATTGAACACCTAGAGTAATTACTGGGACAACCCTGCAACTGTTGTTGAAACAAAAATATGGGTTCAAGATTCAAGATTCAAGAGTCCCAAGCAGGCCTGGAAAATCGCCCTGTTGGCTTCCTTCTCAAGTCGAAAATATACGCCAGGTGGTATGCCCAGCAGCGCTGAACCCTCCGGAACCTGCCTGAAAGCTTCCCCAAACCACCCCATGCAGAGCCGATCAGCACCTTTCCGCCGAATCTGTAGCATTTCAGCTGGGAGGCAAAACGCCACGCGCCGAGCGTCGGACCGCCAGGGCCCCGGTGAGGACGCCCCTCGGCCCCAGGCCCTGCCAGAGCCCTGCGGAGAAAACCACGCGACGGAGGTGGGTGGATGCCCTCTGGATGCCCTCTGCAGACCCAACAAGCCGTCAGGTTTACGAGTGGAATCTGATTCCTTTTGGGGGGAGCCCAAAATAGTTGGGTTCCATGTGAACAATTTGCCAGGGAGGAGCTGCAGAGAGTCTTTGCCAGAACCCCTGGCCTCTTCCACCGAGCGAGGTGGAGTGGCTGCCTGAAGCTTCGCATTCAGAAAATGGGGCATGTCCCCGACCGTTGACCACTTAAGGGGCTGGCTTGGATCATGTTAAAGTAATGGGGCCCGATTTTTTCCGACCAAGAGGGTCGATGGTGGGGGAATTGCGCCCAAGTGCTCTCAGATGTGCCCAAAAGATCACAATACACTCGATGATTCTCCAATTTTCTCGTGCTGGAGGAGTCTTGGGCAGGCAGTGCCCTGCAGCAACATGTCTTTGGGCTCTATGCTCAAGATGCGTCCCGGTTGGTCTAATTCCGTCCATTTTCCCCTACAAGGGTCATTGGAATTCCCAGGAGAGTTGCAATTTGCTGTTGGTTTCCATTGAAAATGCAACTTTTGAAGGTTCCGGAAGAAACCCTGCGCCAGGGTTCTTGTCAAGGTCCTCCAGTAGAGAGGATAGAACAAGGATACCCGGTTTTCTGTAGTCCATTTTAGTAAGAACACCCTGCTCAAAAAAAGGGTAAAAGGGCACTACTGGGGGACCTAGTTGTACTTCCCCAGTCCAAGCAGCTCCTTCAAACCCCTCTTTTCGCTCTTGCTTCCCACGCTCCCATCACATCGTCGCTCGCCAAAACGCGGCCGCGTTTTGCTTTTTCTCGAAGCGAGGGCACAGCCCAACTTTTCGTCCAGGAGCCGCAGGGCTTTTCGGAAGATCCTCGGAAGCGGGGGTAGAGGGCAGCCTCAGTGGCCTTGGATGGGACCTGGGAATAAAGGCTAACCTTTACCAAAAATGGACCAAACCAGGGAAACCAAAAGCTGAAAAGGTCGATTCACTGGGGGCAAGTGATGCAAAGGGGAAGGAATCCCGAGAAAACCTGCTTGTTCCAAAGACGCACGCTGGGGAAAGAAACCTTCGCCTTGCGGGTTCCATGCGGAAAAAAAATCCGGGGCGTGCAGGAAACACTCGAATGCTCAGCATTTGGAAAGCCGGACCTGGGGCAGTGGGGGGTGTACCTCGCGCAAAACCGATGGACGATTTTGCTTCTACCCAACATGCTGCGGCCAGCTCTTGCGAAATGCCGGAAAGTCGCTTGCAACCACACACTATTTGTTTGAAATGCCGATCCGGGTTGCCGCGTGGCTTCTGATTGAACCATGGGGGACAACCGGAAGCTTTCGCATGAAACCAGCACCGCTCTTGGGTGCTGCTTCGGTGGTCCCAGCCTGGAATCGAACGTGTGGCTAGTTTGCCCCAGGGTCTCTCCCAATATCCTTGGCATAACCAACTGGAAGCTCTTGGAGGGGATGCACAAAACTCGCTTCACTCTACCTTCTTAGCGGTTTTATGGGGCGTCCTCCATCCCAACTGATAGGCGCTTGGGACACATCCAACTTAACTGCCAGCAAAGTGTCAACAAAACGCCCAGGAATGATGCTGTGGATGAACAAGATTCGCTCTCACCACCCAAGTGGTGCGAAATGGATTTCGTCCATCCACAGGGAAACAGCTCGGTACTCGGCTCTCTCCGGAGGTGCGCGCCTCTTCTCCCCGATAAGCACCTGCAACGCCTGCACTTCTCGCAGCGACGGCGAAGTTGCCAGCGCCGCTTCATCATCCTCTAGTGGCCTCTCCTTGGCCGCTTAGGTCATACTTCCACTACCTCCACATCACCCAAGGGAAAATTGGGGTACACAACCACTGTTTAACCATTAAATGAGGAAATGCATACATGTTGCTTTGTGTACTCCTTGGGGGGAGTGGTTGGGGGTAGTCTTAGAATGAAACAAGTCCTTAAAACTATATACTGATATGTGTTTGTAAAAAAATGTGGTTGTCTTTGTTGGCGCTCTCTGCAATATGCCGGTTCGTACGCCCAAAGGATGCTTAATTGAAAAGATTCAGAGCTGCAAGCCGCAAGGAATCCTGTACCTACTGCTCGGCTTGAACCCGGCTTGACCAACCTTGCTGATTGACCCCACGGCCCCCAACCCCCCAAACAGCAAACAAGGACTCCCTCCCAAAATCGGGAGGTCTATCAGCATCCCCGCCCATGGCCAGCCAGCGGAAATCTGACGAGCTCCGTTGAGACGAGTTCGGCATTCCTTTCGGGCACGAACGCTTCCCTGGTGATGACACGGTAGAATCGAGAGACCCCACAAAATTGTCTGCTTCCGCTTCCCTCCAAACCAAACATGCAAAGGAAATTCACACACGCACAAACCAATTTGCCACCTCCCAGCCCAAACCCCCCCAGCCCAATCCCCGCGAACAATCGGAACGAGCCGCGTATTGCGCGGCCATCTGCTCGAGGAAGCCCCGCAAACGCTCCAGGTTCCTTCGCCTGGCCGCAACGTCCCCGTCGCTGACCGCGACCAGCTCTGAGGTGAGGTGAGGGTTGCCTCAGGCGCCAGGGCTGAAGCGGTTCACCCTGTTTAGCTTGGATTCTGCAGGCAAGGCAGGAGGAAAGCAGCCATATGTGGGGTCCGATTTTGACACATAGCCCAAACATGCCAGGGGTGGTTCTGAAAGGGAAACCATGGCTTCCCTGCCTGTCGAAACTGAGGCTCCCCCCAATTTTGCCCCACCGAATTGGCACTGCGGCTTCAAACACCTGGAGACAACCACTGGATTCTCAAGCTTCCCAAGAGTCCAGCACCCCAAAGCGTACTACGGCCCGCTGCATGCCAATTAAAAAAATCGCAAGTTTCGGAGCAAGGAAAACCCCAAGTTTGCCGTAATGTACCTTGGCCACCCCCAAACTCCCCAAAGGTCGCGCACTCAGTGCTTCGTAATGCACCTTGGTTTTTGCTTGGGTGTGATTGGTCTGCTTGCCAAGTGGTAGCCCGCGTCCACCATACTGAACGGAACATCTCAGCACCAAGCCCCCACAGAGCAGCCAAGCTTCATCTGCTCAGCTCGTCCAACCTAGGAAGTCGTGGGCGTACCCTTGGTACGGATACACAGGGTTCCATCTTTGACTAGCTACCAACTTGCCAACCCTTGCCCCCTACTAAAAATGAACAGAACAAAAACCTACAAAATGAAAAGTAGGTCAATTTGTGAAACCAGCCAAGGGGCCGCAGGTTGCCGCCTTGTTTGGTTTTCGATACTCATGTTTCTGCCTCTCAAGCCGTTCGTCCTGGACTCCATGTGCAGTTGCTCGCTTGCGGGCACGAGATGGAGAAATGATTCGACTCGAATGGGCTTCTCTCACAAATTGGGTCGAGCCCCCCCCCAAAAAAAAGAAAGAAAGCAACAACAAACAACAACCTCCATGGGTTCCCTCAAAAAACTGGGCGCCTACGGCTCACGAACGCCAACTTGACAAAGGCCCCAAGCAGGGTTCCCTATACTTGTCCATTTGAAACATCGCCCCTACCAAGGGAAGACCTCATCTTCCTGGCCAAAACAATTGTGAACGCCACCCGTCTTCGGCAAACCTCGGCCATTCTTTCAAAGTATCTCCTTTGAGGGAATCCTTTTGTTGAGCTTGTTTTCTGAGGGGGGAGACAGACCAACCTCCGCCAAAAAACAAAGGGAAGATCTCGTTCTCCTGGCCAAAACCGTTGTGAAACCCACCAATCTTTGGCACAACTCGGCCATCCGCCAAAAGCAAAAAAAAATACACAACATACATGCATGACACCTTGTCAAAAAACAAGAAGAACAAAAACCTACAACTACCTCCGCCAAAACCGTTGTGAAAGCCATTGAGCTTTGGCAGCTCGACCATTCGCCAAAAACGGGAAAAAACGCCTCGCCGGGGAGCCGCAGGAAGGCGACGATGCGCTCCAGCTGCCCGCCCAGGGCGCTTCCCTCTCCGGCGAGGCGCACGTGCAGCGAGGCTTCGGTCGCTTCCGTCGACTCCTCGCCCATGGCCAGGAACTCGTCCTCCGTCTCCTGGCAACCCTTGACTTGGTTGACGTTGCAAGGGGAGCAACAATTTAAATTTTAGCAGTTAAGTGGGGATTTCTCACTAAAACACAATAAGCAAAAATGTAAAATGTTTCCCAACAACCAAGTGAGGGGCAGCGCATAGAAGTTGATTTTGGTAATAAAAATAATGACGGCCCTGAGAAATATGAGATTAACACTCTTCTCTGAACCAGTGCCATCTATTTCTAACCAACCAGGTTCTCCAGTAGAGAGGTTGGAAGAAGGGTACCTGCTTTTGTCATCTTTTGCCTGTCGCCTATTTTAGTAGGGGCGCCCTCCCCCAAAAAAGGGTGAACGGGGAAAACTGGGGGACCTAGTTGTGCCATGCGGGTACGCATAGCTGTTGATTTTGGTAAAACAAATGGCCCTGAGAAATACGAACTTAAAACTCTTCTCTAAACCAGTGCCATGTAATCGTTGCCTTGTAATTTTGACCCCTGAGTCCTTAGCCCACCCTGCCAGCAATCAAGGGGCTCCCCTAGAAGAAAGGAATGCTGCAAACTAAAAGCGGCACGGTTGGGTTACTAATGAGAGGGTCAACAATACCATGCAAGGAGGTACACCTGTAAATTGGCCACACGCATTGCGTGGAACAAAAGGAAACCTCATGACCCATTTCCTGCCAAGGAGCTCGACTGTGGCCAGGAACCTGGCCTCCTGAACCCTCTTGTCGATTGCAAACGTGCACGTGGTCCCAGTCCGTCACAACAATGACGCAATTCTAGGGGTTGATTCCAACCCTTCTTTGCAACCATCGTTCTTTTCAAGAACCAGCCGTTTTTTCCCCGGGTTTCTAGAGGTTCTTTAGAAAGAAGGATCCCTGGAAAGAATGGGGTACCCATAGAACAATTCCGTTCAGTCATCCCCTCTTATTTACTCACATAGGGGAATTGCGCCATCTACTTTCATTCTCATGAAACATGACTGGCCCACGCCTCCATCACAACAGCCCCCGGCTTTCTGACGCTCTGCAGGCCTGGCAAAGGCTCTGAGCTAGCTCCAACCCCGCGCTGAGCCAAGACTCCAAAACACGAGTGCTTCTCAAAATGGAGTCCCCTAAAATGGCTGGTTTCCTGTTGGCTTCCTTTTTGAATACCAGCCAAAATTCCAACAGGGGAGCCCGGACATTTAGAGTCCAAAGAAAAACCGAATGGCCATGTCCCAGGCTGAAAACCAACCTTCGGAGTATTGAGCCTAAACATGTGCCCTTCCCAAATGTAGTGCGTTTAGCTTTATCTTTTATTCTGTTTCAAAATCGCTTTCCACTTGAGCAGCGCCCCCCAAACTCAACTTCTGGTTCTACTAACATGCTTCTAACGCCATATATAACCCGCATAAAAATCAAGCAGGGACCGAACCACCTAGTAAAAGCGGCCCTTTTCGAGTCGCCTTTGGCGTCTCGGACCGCCGTGTGGGGGAGAACGCCCGGAGCCAGCGCCTGCCGCCAGCTGCTCAAAGAGGGGGGCGCTGTATGCAGTGACGGGGAAGGTCAGCACCAACTCCACCGAGTCGAAGGGATTGTCCTCTTTGGTCAAAGGTCAGTTCAGGGCGAGTCTCAGATGCCCACGGGAAGAAAGGGGCAGCCATTTTGGGTTGGTTGAGTTTAAACTGAGCGACTGGGGCTTGCTTTGGGTCTGATTGGATTGAATTGGATTAGGTAGATAGACAAATGCCTCCGGAGAGCGAGCCTTCAGAGCCAGTCTGCGATCAAGGGTCGCCTCCAAAGACATAAAAGAAGACACCCAAAAGTGACTTCCCAAAAAGGATGCCCTTGAGGTGCCCTTGAGGTCTGCGGTTGTATCTGAGGCACAACCGCCTCAATCCCCGAGTTCCTGCACTTCTTCCTTTTGAAGACCGCCTTAGTTTCAGTCCCCGGCAAACAAACAATCCACCTGCTCATAAGCATACACGTGTAGATACGGAGGTAGACATGGCACTGTGCTAATCTAACCTAGTTGATCTACACATTCAAATAAAGGCGCACACACACACACACGTGTATATAATTATATATATATATACATGTACAATATGTGTACAGACGGCCATATGATGTTATATATATAACGGGCACCTACCCGAGAAATATTTTCGCTTGAGCGTCACAAACTGCATGGTAAGGCCAAGAGTCCGGAAGCGTGAAGCCGCCCATGAGAAGGAGTCGCCCATTGGAGGCCGGGGAGTAGGAGTAGAAGGCCTCGCAAACGCATTCGTGAGGCGTCAGACATCTTCCCAACACCTATAGTAGCAACTTCAGGTATAGTGCCCCAAACGGGATGGTAGCTAAAAGACGTTTTTTGAACAGAACCTAAACACCCAAAAACCTTTAAACATGCCAACAACAGTAAGAGGTATTCTCAAAGGGTGAAGGAAGATGGACAAGCGTCCTGAAATTGGTTTGTCTCGCTTGGGCAAGTGAGATTTGGGTAAGTGAGATTTTGACTAAAACCAACACGGGGGATTTGTACTATCTACTTTCATCCGATTGTAGCGGGATCTTTGGCCGACCTTTCTCCCTTCAGGCGCGTGAATCCTTCGACCAGCTTCCAGCAGAATCGCAGTTCCCCTGCACCCGGCAGCATTTTGCTCATCTGGCGGACAGGTCCAATGACGTGGCCCAAACGCCCTCCAGAGCCTCGCCTGCTCGCCCGCTTTGAAGTCCTTGAAGGCTCTTACCACCAGCACCTCCAAGCCTTCCCTTTCCTCCAACACCACATCCTCGCTGCCTGGGCGAAACGGCGGAAGGGAAGCCGAAGAGCTTCTTGCTACGAGCCTGGGCCCTGCCTAGGTCCTCCAGAGAGGTTAGAATAAGGGTACCCGATAATTTTTCTGTAGTCTGGTTTTAGTAGGGGAACCCTCCCCAGGAAAAGGGTCAAAGGGCACCACTGGGAGGCCTAGCTGCTGTGAGGTGTCTGTTTGTTTTTCGGCCAGCTGGAGTTCTGCGAGTTCTGCGAAAGGATAGCGCACACCCCTTTCGTTCCAGAATCGCATCAACTCCTCTTCAAAGCTTCAGCGAGACCCTAGGTTTCGCCAAAAACGCCCAGAATTGCATCCAAGGACCTTTTTTTGAACTTGAAGCAAACGTGATTACGTCTCAAGGATTGTTTTCAAAACCTCTGCAAAGGGGATTGAGCCAATCAATGGCAGTTGCCGAATCTGTTTTTTACCCAAGGGTGGTTGGATAATTGTTTGAGGCTCGGAGCAACCAGCTCAATGTCGTTGTGGGCAACCTGCCCCCTTCTGTGATACCAATTTGGGTCATTCCAAATGACTACTGTACCTCTCTCGCTCTCTCTGTGGCATCAAGCCATCCTGTATCACTGAAGGGGATTCGCTTGGTCTCAAAGAAAGTTGGGGTGCTAAACAGGAGATCTGGGGCAGTCATCCCCCATATCCCCCGCTGTTTCCCTTTGGATTAATTAAAATATATTCTCCGCTCGCCGGAGTCCTCTGGACAAAATACACATATTCCCAGTAGTGAGAGCCATTCCCTTCAAACCAACAGGTAAAATAATAAAAGCAAATCTTAAGCAAATAGCGGTTGTGCTCGCCATTTAAGCGCGCAGCCTATCTTCTTCAACATGAGTCACAATCAAAACCCGGGATTAAGGTGGTCTATCCACATGCATGTCACGAATTGCAAAGGCAAATAACCGCACCCATTTATGGCAAGGGGATTGTCCCTTAATGTTGACCCCGGATAAATAAACCCCTGTTTATTAATATGGGGGTGTTCCCTCCAAAAGTGATAAATCCCCACTAAAACCAGGGACACCCCCATATTAATAAACAGGGGTCAGCATTACCCTCCAATGCACGTGATGTCTTCGGGTTTGCCCATCCTTTCAAGTTGCCCACCGCCTCGTGGCTGTGGTTGAACATGTCCTGTCCCGGCCCCAGCACCAGCAGCCGCGACCCGCCTGAGGCATGGCAAGTTGACACGTTGGCGAAAAAACAGGGGGCAAATGTGTCGCTTTTTTTTTTTGGGGGGGGGGGTTACTTTAAAGGGAAGCCCCCCAAGAAGAAGGGGGAAACAAGGAAGTCGCTCACAGATCGGAATGCTGCGATGGCTCCCCTCGCTATGGGGAATGAAAAGTTTGGACAGGTTTGGCCAATCCACCCAGGAAGTGAGTTTACCAAATTAAGGGGGTCTCTTTTCAAATGAAAGCCCGGGCACCAACCTTTGAACACTAAACTGGTCGTCCCAAGAAGTTTCTTCAAGACACTCGGGGACTGAGACTTGTGCGGGAGGGGCCTCCCATCTACCCCTTACAAATGCCAGGAGCTCAAATCCCCAAGCCACAAATCCAAACCACCGGCCAAGGGCGACCTGAATGTTCGACCAACCACCGCCAGAACGATTTTCCGCCAAGGGGTGACTCAATTGATGTGGACAAACTAATCAATGCATAATGACCCTTCCAACTTGTTCCATGTTTGATGTTGCCCAGCGCCTATACATAGACATATATAGACCCTCCAACATGCTGGTTTTCCTGTTTTCCTTGCGGTGTTCCTTTAAAAGCCAAAAAGCGTAATTGCCCCAAGCAAACAACCCATATATATATATATATATATGTATATATGTATATATATATATATTCTGCATTCTGCTATACATATGTATGCATATATAAGATGGTTCGCGCACAACACGTGCATTCCCAACCCGTGCCAACCCCTGCCCATACTTGCCGTGCTAAATAAGAGACCCCCGGCCAGAGCGTTGTCCGCATGGGTTTCTGTTCAAACACCCCATGAGGCGGCGCATGTCCAAGAATCCACCAGCACTTTCAGGAGCAAACCCATACATTTTCCGGAGATCGCGACCCTGGGATACTAAACCGCGGATGAGTTTGCGGGGTGGCACTCTTTGAGAAAAAATGTTGGGAGTCAGCCCACAGTTGGAGGGCACGGCCTCAAAATTTCATTTCTTCGCGCATCCGAAACGCCCACAGTTGAGGGAACTGAGGGAACAGCCTCAAAAACTTAGATTTTCAACCAGATCCCGACACCTCAGGCGTCCCAAGCGTCCCAAGCCTTCTCTCAGGAAGGCCACCATCCGCGAGAGCAGCACCTCGCGCATGGAGCAAGCGATGCCACCGAGCCCCCCACTTCGCTTTCGCGGGAAGCACATGATACAAACGAAAGGCGACAACGCACATGTGACATGTGTGCGTAACATTTTCTATATATATATATGTTTATACATGCATGTGCATGCTGCTCTGTTAATTTTACATTCTCCCCCCTGTTTCTCTAAAAAAAACAGCACTCCTGCAAACATGGATCCCCTACCCCCCCTGCCCAAAACCGGAGACAAGCAAACGAACACAAAGAAGAACTCGGCCATCCTTCTCCCTCCCCCTGCCCCCGATTTTTTGGAAAAAAATAAAAAAGGGGGGAAAAAACGTGCCGACGCCCCTGCCTTGTGCGCCCAAAGGAACTTCTCCGCCGTGATCTCGAAGGCCTGGAAAAGCTCCTCCAAGATCTCCTCGCTCGAAGCTCGGAAAAGGTCAGCCCACTTCTCATCGAGCGGGTGGGGCCAACACCAAGTCCCAAGAGGGGTCACCGGTCACTGGCTTCCCCCCTGCTGAAGTTGATGAATCTACGAGTGGGCTCCATCGAAACGATCGCCACTTTTGGAGGTCCGACAAAAGGGAAATTGATGGACACGTGTCCAAACTTCTTGGGTGCCGCTAAAATGAACTAAATTCCACCAACTCAAATTGAGTTTGGCAGTTTCATTGGAAAGTCATTTGTGAACCAAAAGGTCCTGGGGCGGTTGGATCACACCAAAGACCATCCTTGTATGTCCAAGATAAATACCCAAACGGAAGCTCGCCAAATCTCTTAGCAATGCAAAGCTATTGTTCAAAAACCAACCGTTGAGGGGAAGAAAGGGAACCCTGTGCGCTATGTATCATCACAAGCCATGAATGCAAATGTTGATGCATGTTCGGCAAGTTATATACTCTCTAAATAGTGAATATGGGTATGTGTTTTTTTGACGTGGCCGTGCCGGGAGGTTGGTATAAGGGGTATGACTCGAAGGTATGGTTCGGGGTATGGCTCGGGGGTATGATTCGGGGTATGGCTCGCGCGCCTCTGAACTCTTGCATTGTGGCTTTGGACACTGCAAAGCTCCCGTGCGCTGGCAACTGGATAGTGTTCCTGCAGTGCTTCTCTTTGAGTTTTGTGTCTTCTGAGGATTTGGGCCGCATAGCTTCGCTAGAACTGCCCAGAGCGCAAGAGGCTCTTGGCTGCAAATGGCAGCAGAAGGGTATGAATCGGGGTATGAATCGGGTATGAATCGCGGGCATGAATCGGGGGACAGATTTTTTTCGACCGGAAGGACAGCAAGAGTACCCCAGGAGCACAAAGACAGCTTGTGTTTCACTGCGACAGCTCCAAGTTTCAAGCTCAGCAGCGGCACCCCCCGCCACAGCGCCCTGCAAGTCCCAGCGTCTTACGTCAAGCTGCACCCCCCGGATGCTACAGACAACTCTAGTACCAGGACATCCGCAGGATTGCTCTATAACTCCATCCATTGGCACTTTCCCACCAAAAAAACCCAAGCCGAGACCGAGGTGGGTAACCGAGTGTCAAGGAACACCACTTGAGCCAAAATGGCCCCCCACGAGTAACCAGTGAGTGTGTGAGTGGACATGTCAACTGTACTTGGCCCCATGACATCAGAGCCCAACCATGGAAGCATCGCAGACTCAAGAATAGATCCAGGAACCACAAGTGAACCAGGTTTACCTCGAAGTTCCTACCCCCTGGCGTCGGTCCACATGACAAGCTCTCTAACACTGTTTCTTGACAAGACCCCCTTCTTCACTTGAAGTTAAACCCCCTATAGCTTCCAGCTATTCATGGATCACATGCAAATGCCACAGTTCTTGCAAGTTATTTTTTTGTGTTTTTGAAGGGGTATGACTCGGGGTATGGCTCGGGGGTATGGTTCGGGGTGTGATTCAGGGGTATGGCTCGCCCAAGCCCCACCTCCCACGAAGACTAAAGAACTGACACGGTAACAAAAACACAGACCCATATGTCGTGAACACAAAACAAACAGTACAAGTCAGTACGCACACACACACACGCACATATAAAAATATAGAAAGAGAGAGACACATACATATATATATATATATATAATCTGTCAGCGCATAGACAGAAATCCTATGTCAGCACATGAGGGAGGGCAATCAAGGTGCCTCCAGTCGCAACCTCATGCACCCTCGGGGCCCTGCCCTCTGCCAAGGCACGGACAGTTCCTGGTACTCGCTCAAAATGTCCTGCGGCACAGGCCGGGTGACATCCAACTATTCGACAAGACCAACCCCAAGGATCCCGAATCCAACTTGGCCGGCAAAAATAAAAGCGAAGCTTACTAAACCCCCTGTAAATTCACATGGACCCCCAAAAAAGGGAGGGACCTAGAGGTTCCTCTACATGTATACAGCTGTTTTTTTGGGGGGGGCCACTTTCTGGAGAGTAGGCCACCCACGCCGATCGAAGTTGGACTCCGTCCCATGGCCCAGTAAGTTGTTGCACCCGAGGCCAGCCCCGCAGCCTCCAAGACCGTTCCACCAGGGGTGGGCAACGGGTCCAAGCATCTGCACGTCCTACCAAAAAAACCGAAACACCTGTTTCGATGCCCGACGCGTCTGTGCCCCCTGTGCCCCTTCCGCCCCGAGGCCTGGCGCAGGGCCTCGCAGACCATGGGCCACTTGCTGCCCTGCAGGCGCTTCAGCTCCGCCGCGCTCCAGTCCAGCAACGTCTCCACCTCTCTCCCGCCGTCGCGGCCCGAAACGCGCGCGAGAAACGCGCGCGGGGAGTGGGAGCGGGGGAGTGGGAGGAGAATTTTGCCCAAAAGGGGGGGTTGCGTGCCTGAAAGATTGAAGGTCGAAGGAGCCATAAAGGCAAAAAAGAAAGATGGAAGGAAGGAAGAGACAAGAAACACCTGGCCCATGATCTGCAAGTTCGTTCCAAAACCTGAAGCAAGAATTGGATTTACAGCGCCTGGCCCATGACCTGCAAGTTTGTTCCAAAACCTGAGCTAAGAATGTGAGTTGCAAGTAAAGGACCTACAATGACAACTACAGCATGCATCAGAGAGGTCACGGCAAATGTAGGTCACATTTGCCACGGTTGGTGGAATCCTTGGGTTGAACTTTTCGGCGGTCTCAAACTTGGGGGGCGGGTTTCGACTTTTTGTCCCCCTGAACCAACCACGCCACAAAAGTGGGCGTTCCGAACCCAAATATGTTTCGGGGTTTGTCCACCAGCCTCCCATCCTCCCCTCTTCGTCCCCTCATTTTTTAAGGGACCCCTAGGTGAAGGTGCGCGCCTTGGACCGCTGCAGAAAGGCCATGTGCTGCTTTCCTTGCGAACGCGACATTCCCGCGAGGAGGCCTCCCTTTGGGGAGAAGGCGGTGCAAAGGCTGATTGTATAAACCTAGGCAGTTAACTCAACTAAAGGGTAGGGGTTCAATGGTTTCCGTTTCTTCCTTTGTGACGGGCGGTGGGATTGCCGTCTCTCACCAATCCACCTCCCCACGTAGGGAAATGGAAAGGGCCCAAATGCGCAAGTGGATAGTCCAACTGCTGCAGTGCTTCATCCCTACGGGTGCCAAGTCCGCTACGTAGCCAGGGGGGATGCATGTCCCAACATCGAGCCGTTCCGTTCGCCTTCTGCCAAGGAGCGAAAGCCATCTAGGCCCTTGATCTCCATGAGCATGTGGAGCACGATCCTGACGTGGCTCAAGCCGCCCCCAGCAACCAATCAAGACTTCGTTGATTGAACTAGGTCCTCCAGCAGAGAGGTTAGAATAAGGGTACCCTTTTTTCTGTTGTCTATCTTGGTAGGGGAACCCTCCCCAAAAAAATTGCAAAAGGGCTCACCTGGGGGACCTAGTCAACGATTTTCCGAACTAAACCGACGTTTTCCCCGGGAGGTTACCTTAGGGGCGAGCGAGTTGGTGATTCCATCTAAGGCTGATTGTGGTCAAACCTGCACGCCTCCCCACATAAGCGAGATTTGGGCTGATGGCTTTGGAAGTCCACACTGTTGATTTGTCACTTACCACTAAGAAGGCAACCAAGGCCACAAAGTTTCTCCCAAGTCCATGAAATGAACCCAGGCAGTGAGTTTTTGGAGTTGGTACCTTTCAATTTTGCTGGGAAACCAACACCGTTTTGGGGCTTGCCTTGAAAACACTGGCTAAAAGTTTCACTTGCAGTGGCTTCAACGGAAAGAAACTACCACTAAACACTAAAAAGCCAAAGGGCCAAGGAACCGGATGCCTGGGAGCCACCTAACACAAGAAAACAAAAAACACGCACCGAAAAATCTGAATCCCACCCCTCGCTCGCTCCCCTCTCCGCTCGCACCGGCCCCGGCTCCCTGCTCGGGCGGTTCGGGCGACCCGGCGCCGTGGCGTCGGAGATGGCCTCCAGAAGCTCCGCGTCCACCGCGGAGTGCGCCAAGATGCGCCGGGCTGTTGCGGCCTCCGAAGACGGAGGCGGAGGCGGGGTGGGGGGGGGGGGGGGAGGGGGAGGGGGGAGGGGGTGTGTCTGTTTTTGACAAATGTTGATCGCCCGCAACCATTTGGCTCAAGGCACCTTTGCAGGCCGCTTACAGGATTATACGACATTACAATCCACCAAAAAACAATCCATCCTCCAATCATCCATATTGGCATATTGGACTCTCTCCGGAATAGATCCAGGGACCACATAAACGACCTCTACTACCACAGGGTACCAGTTCCCTTCTGGGATAGGTACCCCCAGCAGTGGGTGGGCCTCAATTGTGGTAGCGGAGCAGGTTTTCCGCAGAGATCCGAGGAAACATGTCATCCGATTGAGAAGGCTTCATGGAGGCCTATTCAAGTATGGCCAAATCATCCGGCTATACGGAGGAAACACTCAACTTATCGATGACCGCCAAGCAGCCGCTAAGACGGAGGCGGAGGAGGGGTGGGGGGGGGGCCAACTTGGGGGAGGGAGAGCGGGGGGTGGGGGTTTGGGGGGGAGGGAGGGAGAGCGGGGGGAGGGGAGGGGGGAGGGAACTGGGAACTGGGAGGGAGAGCAGGGCCTTCAAGTGTTCAACCTAAGAAAAAGCAGCCCCAAAGAAAATAGACGCACTTTGAAGCCAAACAAGCTCTATGCTGCCAACCCAAACTTCCATTCACTTCAGTTCCCTGACACAAATGGACATATATATTTAAAAAGAAATGTCCTGTAGGTTCCATTTTAACACCAACAAAAAAAACTAAACCATTCTTAAGCAAATGAAAGCAAAAAAGCGAGTTTTGGGGCAGGCACCGTCCAGCACACGTCCAAGGGCAGCGTAAGCAGAACTCCGCCCTTCTGGACGTCTTCGGTGCAGACCATGCCGCAGCCATAGCCGTCCTTGGTTGCAACCATCACTCTCGCCTGTCCGTTTTCAGATCCCCTGCTACAAGTGAAAACTTTCAGTGAGCGAAGACTTTTAGCGAGCGAGGTTCGGACACATCCAACCACTAAACTGGTTGGAGTCTTAGGGGGCAGCTGGGAACCACCAAGCACTTTTCCAAAGGACTTGAAAGGACATATTTTTGCGAGTGGATGGCCAAAACAGGGTAACCAAACTTTTTGCATGCCAGTAACATGTTCCAAACCCAACCAGTATAAAGTCCATCAACTCAGGAAGTAAGAAGGCATGTTTTCTGCAAAAAACACTTAGGATACAAGTCTTCCATGACTCGGGACACCAAAAGCCGAACTTGGCCAACACACCGCTTTCACCTGGTCAAATCCTACGAAAATCGCAGATCCGGCTCCAATGTTCAACCTTCAAATGGGTGATCCCTTGGTGAACCCTTCGTGGGTGGCTTCTGGTGCCCCCAAAAGGAAGCAACCCGGTTTTTGGGTTCTGGTTCTTTTCCTGCATTTTGAGAATCCACCGAGGTTGGAATCTTATAGGACCAAAAGCAAGCCGAGCAAAAAAAAATGGGCGGCTCCACGCCAAGTCAGCTTCCACTTGGGAGTTGGGAGCCCGGTGGTTCAGGGGTTAGAGGTGGCTCTCACTTCCGATCGAGTGGGCTGGCCAAAAGCAGTCCTTGAACTTGTTATTTACCACCAAAACGGTCCAAACCCACAAAGTGTAAAGTCCATGTCCTCAGGAAGTGCGGGCTACAAGAAGTGCAAATAGCACGAAAACCTTCCAAAATGCCTTAGGGGGTCCTTGCTCCCTTACTTGCAGTCTGGGGGTTTGGCTCAACTTTTGCAGGTCCAAAAAGTGGAAATCGAGGCTGAAGCTGAACCCTAAACCTAAACCTTTGACTACAAATGTTCAACCCGTGAATAGGGTTTTCGCACTAACCAAAAAGTCACAGCACACTATACTGATAGCAAGTAGGTTCTAAACCCAATCAGTCCTCGCAAGATCAAGATATGCATAGCTTCAACTGATCTGCCAATTCCGAATGCTGCGACACGGCAATGCAATGTCACGACACTGAAACTAATAGTATGTAGTATGTATAATGTATACCAACTCATCACAGCCAACAGCAGGAGAAAGCCACCAAAACACCCTCAGCACCGGCACCCTCCAAACTGTTTTTTGCTGGACGCCCCCAGCGCGAAAGCGGGCAAAAGCCGAGTCGCCAACTCTCTCAAGCGCACACAGCTGGCGTCCCAGAGCGCGTGCAGGCTCGCAAGGTCCGCCATGACGCTTCAAGGGCAGGTGCTGAAAGGGTTTGGTTACAGGAAAGGACGGCCCAAAACACCCTAAGTAAGCTGTCGTCCTGTAGAATCCCAACCCTTTCAAACTGCGAAAGTAGCAGGAAGGGCTAAAGAATTCGGCCAAAAACAGCTTGACTTTTTCACGCACCCCTGACATGATCTCCCCAAAAAGTGTAGAGTCCAGGAACCCAGGGCGCGAGTGGTGTTGGGGGGGGGGTACTCTAAAACAATGTCTTAGTCATGTAATTATGGGGCTAAACTGCTAGTCTCTGAAAGGAAATTCTTGCGCCCCTTACCTCGCTTGCTGAGAGACCAAGCCTCTAGCGTCTGAAGCGCCCCCCCATTGATCTAAGGTCGGCCTCCCCCGAAATTACAGAGCCCCAAAACTGGAGAAGCTCCACTCGGACCCAACGCTTCAATAGGGACAACGTGTTTATCTCACCGTACATGGGGTGGCATGCATGTCGGACCTGACGTCCACTTCTCTATCTGTGAGTATCGGTGGCTGCGAAAGAGCATGCCTCAGCTCGAGCGGGAAACCCGCGAGACCCCAAAAGATGCCCAAAGGCCCAAGCCCTTCCATGACTTGCTATGCCCAACCCGGGGTATATACTCTAAGAAAAATGAGCTTCAAGTTCTGGCAAGCTCTACTATAATTGCAGCAGCTGAATTAAGGGATCCCCAAGAAAAGGACCTTCATGGTGAGCTCGCTTTCAGTGGGAACCCCATTTTCCAAGCTCCCTTCCCAACATGAATTGCCAACAGGTCGTGGTCGCGCTCGCCACCAGCCCGCCCGGGCCTGTGCAGGACGCGCTGGCCTGGCTGGCCTAGACGCTGCGAAACCGCCAACCTGAAACTGCCCCACCCCCACCCCACACACAAAGGCGGGTATTTGGCGTATGGATTATGTTTAGCCATGACAAACAATAAGCCCAGGTGGTATCCAACAGCCCCAAAACCCTCAACCCTCCTTCTGAACCCAGCTGCCCCAATCCACCCCGATCTGGGAAAAGACCCCAAAGCTTTCCGCTGTTGAGGATTTCTATGGCCACTACTCAACTTCCATTCGCCTAAGTAAGCCCCCAGGACAAATGAATATTTCTATCAGTGGGTTCCCTCTCAAACCAACAAGGAACCAAAAATCCTGCACCGGTTGGGATGGATGAACGCCTATGAAGACTCGGATAAACCACCAACTGGTGCAGCATGCAGTCAATCCACAGTGGGGTCCTTTGTCTTCCAGTTGCTTAAGAACACTTCACATTCATCATAGGATCTCATGGCACATCCAGCCACTATGAGGCTTCAATGCTGTTGCCGTCCCTTAACGCACGTTCAACCCCTCCTTCCTTTCCGCACATTCGCCAGAACCTCTCTGGGGCTGGCCGTGGTTGCTCAGCTAGGTCCCCCAGCTAGGTGCCCTTTTACCGTTTCTTTTTTGGTTGGGAGGGTTCCCCTACTAAAATAGACAACGGAAAAAAGGGTACTCTTATTCTAACCTCTCGACTGGAGGACCTAGTCAGTGTCTCTCCTTACAATCCCTTCGAGGTTTTCGTTTGAGGTGAGTGCGCTTGTACGACCCGAAGCCCGAACGCCATAGTCTACGATAGCTTCCACTACGTGGGGACCAGGAGGTAGTTAAAGTCCTAACATCCAAGCAAAATGCACGGAAAGAAAGAGGCTGCAACAAGTCCACGAATCGGGCCGCGCGCCTGCAGCGCACGAGGGACCAAAGGCCGCGCAGACGGCCCCTGCATGTGAGAGGGGTTGTCTCGCTGCAGCCACTTGTTGATTTTGCCGGCAGGGAAGACGACAAACAGGGCTAGATACATCCAAAAAACAAAAAATACCTGATTCGCAAGGGGGGTCGGGGGTCCTCTAAATCAGCTGTTGTTTGGGCGATTTTCACTGTGCCGCTATTAAGCATCCAACTTGGTTGCTGCTGACCCCTCTGCCCATGTGATGAATATCCCTAAAGTTAAGGGACCCCGAAGAATCCGTCAGTTGGCCTATCAGGGCGCTTGGCGAATCCTCTTCGATTTGCTGGGCCTGCCCACCTTGCCCCCCAACCCCCATCCCAGCGGGTTCCAGCCCAAGGTGGAAACAAAAACAGGGCCGAGCCCGACTACCACGTCCTTTTTGAGTTTCTGGCAGCTCCTTAGCTCCCTCTTTAAACGCACACCTGGCCAGGGGTCAAAACCCAAATCGCACCCCCAGTGAACATCAACCAATCCCCACTAAAATAGGTAACCTAAAATGGGTGGTGAATTCACCTACCAACCAAAATGGGATCCTATTGGTTTTGACAACCACGCCCATTGCCCCCAGCTCCGGGGCGCCCTTTCTAACCACCAGCTGGCTGAGCTCTATCCAAACCATCAACAAAGGACACCCAACAAAGGACACAGGCGACAGAAGCTGCTCACCATGACTTAGATTGGCCCAAGCCAAAACCTGCTTGAATGGGCGAAAAGTCAAAAATGGGTGGCCACTGAAGTTGTCCAAACCCCCAAAAGTGGCCCAAGCGCAGTTGAAGTTGCGTGAGTCAAGGCTAATAGGTGTTCAATACAAAAGTTCCATTCGGGGTACCGCCCCCCGCCCATACAGCTAAGGCCACCGCGAAGGCGAGCATCAGGGGCCCTTGGAGCGGTCAGTGGGGTTGGCCCCCTCAACTCGGTTGCCAGAACTTTCGGGAAGTTGCTCAGTACTATGTGTTGTACCTTGGTCTAGCCTTTTGCACGCAAGGTTAACAGTTGACGCACAACTCAAACAATGCAAACGGAGGCTGTGAAAATTCAGTGGGTTGAACGTTCTCCTGACCCTGGCTGCAGGAGCATCGCTTTTTCCAATCATCCACGTGGACAAAAGGGTTCTCCGGAAGGGCGGCAAGCCTGGCCGTCAAAAAAGCAGGGCTAACTCCGCGCGGGGGAACATCCAAAAACGCGAACTTGGCCGCACAAACAAAATGCAATAAATTTGGAGCAAACCCCAGAAAGCCATCGGTCAGCTCTCTTCGCGTCGATCTGAGCAGATCGCGCTGACTCTGCGCCCCGGGCGCGCTCCGGATGGTGCTCTTCTAAAGGCCGACGGCTGTGGAAGAGTTGGCAACCTTGCATTTGGTTAAGACCCCTGGAAACAATAGAGCAAACAATTCCAGTAGTGATAGATTGTGATAGATTCCCTTTAAAACCAACAGGGGAAAATAAGAAATCTTCATTTCAGCAAATGGAAGCAACTTCAGCCCTTTGGGCAACCGCTCGATTCTATGGACCCCTCTGGGCGTGTAGTTATTTTGGAGGGCACTCTTTTTTGGGGTTGGTTTACAGTACAGAGCCAAAACAAAAAACACATAAGCTCAGGCGATATCCCCACAGCACCACACCCTCCCAGAATCCTCGCGAACCCGGGACCCACCTCACCGCCGGTGTTGCTGAGGATGCCGCTTGTGACTTTATATAGCAAAGCTAAGAGTGACAGCGCAATCGCGCCCTGATCGGGGCCCGACGGCGCAATCGGGGCCTGATCGGGGCCCGACGGCGCAATCGGGGCCTGATCGGGGCCGACGGCGCAATCGGGGCCTGATCGGGGCCCGACGGCGCAATCGGGGCCTGATTGGGCCCGACGGCGTCGGGGCCCGATCGGGGACCTGCAATCGGGGCCATGCTCCGGTGGCGCAACCCCAGCCACCAATATTAAAGCTCAACGCCGGCTTTTCTTAGGATGCGGCCTTACAACTGTATCTATCAAAACTAGGCGATGCCAGCTTGGTACATTTGACGGGGCCTGGCTGAGTCGGGCCCCGATCGGGGCGCGATGGCGCAATCGGGGCCGATCGGGGCCCGACGGCGCAATCGGGGCCTGATCGGGCCCGACGACGCAATCGGGGCCCGATCGGGGCCCGACGGTGCAATCGGGGCCATGCTCCGGTGGCGCAACCCCAGCCACCAATATTAAAGCTCAACGCCGGCTTTCCTTAGGATGCGGCCTTACAACTGTATCTATCAAAACTAGGCGATGCCAGCTTGGTACATTTGACGGGGCCTGACTGAGTTGGGGCCCGATTGGGGCGCGATGGCGCAATCGGGGCCGATCGGGGCCTGACGGTGCAATCGGGCCCCGACGGTGCAATCGGGCCCCGACCTGGGCCCGGTGAACCTCGCAAACCATCCTCGTAGAAATTTCGTGGAACTCAGCGTGAAACTCTGTTGGAACATTTCCTCAGGGCAGACCTGTGAGGCATGATGCCCAAGTGCCACAGTCAGCTCAAATGTCAGTCATTGCGCGCAGGTGTATGTCCGTCTAGATCAGTCTGTTTGCGCGAGAAAAGCGGCCTGTGATGGCCTGTGCATGAACAGCGTGCGCAAGGACTGTGTGTGCGCAGAGTTTCCGGCACGCACGGCCGGCGTGAGCGTGCGTCTGTCTGCATGTGTGTCTGCATTGGCTGTCGCATAGTCCACATGTTTGAAAGCACCGAACCACCCCCCCCCACCCCCCCAACACCAAAAAGTGGCTTGAGAGCTTATGGTCGCTAATGAGCGAAAACAACCACCCCATAGCTTTTGCAGAACCTGGTGGAAACTTCGTGGAGCGTTTTTTGGAACCTTACCCCATAGCCCCCGCAGCCTCGTGGGAACCCAAAGCCCACCACCGTGAGTCCCGCAGCAACGTGATCTGATTTGCCACAAAGCCAACATTTCGGGCCGCGTTGCCTGCGCAAGTGACTTGAGCAAGGGACAAAACAGTGAAAGTGTGCTGAAAACCATTGGTTTTCCGTTTTGCTTAGTGTTCCGCCCATGAGCAAAGCGATCTTCTGATCCCTCAATTTACTGCTCCGATGGCATTAAAGACGGCGGGCGCACAACGCACTGCTTCCCTCCAGGGCAAGCCACGGAACCTTGCAGAACATTTCTGGGACGCTTGTTGGAGCCTTGTGGAGCCCTTGTGAAATCCTTGCGGAATTGTGTGGAACCCTGTGAAACCTCAGGGCCGCCCCGGACCTCGCAGAACCTTGTGGAACCCTGACACTCTCCTGGAACCCTCAAACCACCACCACCCCGCAGCCCTCGATGGAACCTTACCTTGGACCACCCCGCAGCCCTTGCAGAATGTGGAACCGTGGTGGAACCCTGGTGGAACCTGGTGGAACTTCGGTGGAACCTGGTGGAACCTTGGTGGAACCCTGGTGGACCCTGGTGGGACCCTGGTGGAACCCTGGTGGAACTGTCGTGGAACATTACCTCAAACCACCCCGACCACCCCGCAGTTGGTGGAACCCTGGTAAAACCCTGGTGGAACCCTGGTGGAACCCTGGTGGAATCCTGGTGGAACCCTGGTGGAACCCTCGTGGAACCTTACCTCAGGGCCGCCCCGGACCTCCCGGAGCCTATCTGGGATGAGACCCCAAAGCTTTCAGCTGTTGGGGAATAAGGTTCCGTGTTCCCCAAGTTGGTGCCAAACCCCAAATATGACTTCCGTGGCCATTTGGGCCGCCTAGGCCCCCATCACACCCCCCCCTCATTTTTACAGTTCCCTTTTTTGGAGACCCCTGCGATCCATTCATGGTGCGAGAAGGGACGGTTTGACTTTTAACCCCTGAATATTTTTCGGACCCCTCCACAGTGGCTCTACACTTTGAGGATCAAATGATGAAGCCTCTCAAAAAGTCTTTGACTGCCTCAGGAAAAAGGAGACTCATGCAAATGGCCCCGATGAAACCTCCTGCTGCGCCTTTTTTTCTCGCACCTTCGCTATTTCTCCTCGGCCTCAGCCGCCCCTGACTCACCAACCTCGTCCGTCTCGGCCTCGCGCGACACGTCGCCCTGTCAAATACACGGCTGGTCGCAACGCTCTGCCGCCGGGCCGAAATGGCCATGGACATAGAACCCACCGAAGATGCGAAATATTAACAAGTCAGAGATTGTTATGGCCATGTTTTGCTGGCAGGGGATTGGCTTGCTTTTCCTTTTGAAAGCATGGGCAGTGGGGCCCAAACCCACCGACTCCTGACTCCACTGCGAGCACAGTCTGGGGAGGAAGTGAACACCAAGCCCAACCAGGGCGACTGTTTGCCAGTGAGTGGCACAAACATATACCCTCCCACCAACTAACACAAAGCCCCTTTCCAAGAGGAAAGCAGTCTTTCTACCTGGGTCTGTGCACTTCCATGTTAGTCGGTTGGAGGGCATTCTTCAATCCCCAAAGAGTTGAAGCTTTAACACACTACGTCCTCCGGCAAAGAGGCTAGAATAAGGGTGCCCTTGTTTTCTGTAGTCTATTTTAGTAGGGGGTTCCCCTCCCAACCAAAAAAGGGGGTGAGAAAGTTGGCACCTAGCTGGCCCAAAAAAGAGTATAAGGGCACTACTGGGGGACCTAGCCAAAGACTTGGAGGTTTTAAGCCTCCCGAAACCCGGCCTCCGCATCCGCGGCCTCTTCCGGCGCCTCCGGCTCGGCGAGCGGGGCCCAGGCCAGTAAGGCCGGCGCCGCCACGCCCAGCACCTCCGATGAGACTACGGCGGGTGGCGAAATCAAATCCGTTCGCAGCTTCTTGGAATGGGAAGCCATTCTTTGTTGGCATTTACAGGAGAATCATCAGAAACCAGGAGCTTTCTTAGGCGGCCTGCACCACCTATCATACTGTGAGTGGCTGCGTGGCGTGATAGAAATTTAAAGGTGATCAAAGTTGTGCATGTTGTGGGTGGACGCGAAATCCTCTTTGGCACCACCGTTCAGAAATCCTGAAATGATTCGACTCTCAAACGTAAATACCAACACACACAAATGTTTTGCATGGGTTCAAAGCGAATGCCATTGGCTTCTTTCGGCCCCTGGACAAAAACCTGGGTCTTCCATTTGGTCACTTTTTGGGGCTCTGGGCATTTTTTTTGCTCGTTTCAGATTTTGAGCGGAAAAACTAAAAATGAGCGGAAATCTTGATTTGCAAGTTGTGTCCCAGAAAATGAGCGGAAATCGGCGGGAAATGAGCGGAAATCGGCGGGAAATGAGCGGAAATGTGCGGACACGCACCAGAACCATTTTCCAATTGAGCGGTTTATTTCGAATTGAGCGTTTTTGGATGAAATGAGCGTTATTTTTGCTCGAAACGGGAAAATCCAGAAAAAAGTGCCCACGGAAGACCCAGGAATGGACAATATGTCCAGTGATATATTCCCCTTGAAACCAGGAAGGCAAAATGAAACATGTTCTGCAAGTGGAAGAAGTGGCTGATTCCCACGACTAGGAGTTTTCTTAACTTTGGGGATTCGAACCTGCTGATCACAGAAAGTCGCACCAACATGCCCACAAAGCAGCCCTTGGAGTTATGGGTGCGAAAACTAATTCAACAAATGTGCTGTCACTTCCTGATGGGATTGGCCAAACTTGTCTATCTGCCACTTGCCCATTGCCCAGGGACCCTTTTCGAGATAAACATGGTTTAGCATGGAAGCCACCAACAGAAAAGAGAAACACCACTAAACAACAAGGATATACAACCTCTACTTCACAACCCCAGAACCCAAAAAAAACACCTAAAACCTAAAACTCCCCAAAAACCTAAGAACCCAAAACCCCCAAAAAAGGAGAGTTCCCTTTTTCCAAGAAGGATCCAAAAACCGAAAAAATGATCCGATAACCCGTGAAGTCGTTTTCAGCTTCCCCGGCCCCGAAAATATCAGTCCCCTGGGGCGTGCGCCAGCATCAGGTTCCACCAAAGCCGGGGTGCCGCCAGCAGTACCGCCACGCTGCCCGCCTCGACGTCTTTTTCTGAATCGGAGCCGAAAAAAAAAACGTCCGGGGAGACCCGGGTCCCCAGGTTCCTTCGAGGAATTCCATTCTGAAAAAGAGAATGGGTGTGTTTGTGTGCCATTTGTTTCACTGGTTTTTCGGGGAAACCCAAACACAAACTAGACCACGGTTGGCCCGAAAGCAGAACATCGCAAGCGAGGTCGGCCCAACGCTGCAGGATGCGTTCTTTTTCCCTACGCGAAGCATTTGTGAAGCAAGCGCGAGACAGCACCAGGCAAGGTGCTCTGCGCAAACTGGTCGGTGCAAGTTGGTCTGCGCAAGTTGCTCTACGCAAGTTGCACTGTGCAAGTTGCTCTGCGCAAGTTGCTCCGCGCAAGTTGCTCCGGCAAGTTGGTCCCTGCAAGTGGCTCCCTGCAAGTTGCTCTGTGCAAATTGCGCTCCCTGCAAGTTGCTCTGTGCAAGCTGCTCTGTGCAAGTTGCTCTGTGCAAGTTGCTCTGCGTAAGTTGCTCTGCGCAAGTTGCTCTAGGCAAGGCGCTCTGCGCAAACTGGTCGGTGCAAGTTGGTCTGCGCAAGTTGCTCTGTGCAACTTGCTCTGCGCAAGTTGCTCTGCGCAAGTTGCTTTAAAATGCAAGTTGCATCTTGCGACGCCCGCCCGCGGACCAGGGAGGAATCGAACCCGCGACCCGCCGGTTCCGGGAGCAGGCGCGCGAACCACGAGACAACTCCCGAGGACCAGTTCGAACAACAAGAGTCGCGAAAATCCTCGAGTTTTTGCACCTCGACCACGCCGATCCCCGCAGAGGGTTGCGCGAGCACCGCAGAAATCGCAAAAAGCCTCGAGTTTTTGCACCTCGACCACGCCGATCCCCGCAGAGGGTCGCGCGAGCAGGTTAAACATCGCATAAAACCTCGAGCTTTTGCACCTCGACCACGCCGATCCCCGCAGAGGGTCGCGCGAGCAGGTTAAACATCGCAAAAAACCTCGGTTTTTGCACCTCGACCACGCCGATCCCCGCAGAGGGTGCGCGAGCACCGCAGAAATCGCAAAAAACATGGGTTTTTGCACCTCGACCACGCCGATCCCCGCAGAGGGTCGCGCGAGCACTTTAGAAATCGCAAAAAACCATGGGTTTTTGCACCTCGACCACGCCGATCCCCGCAGAGGGTCGCGCGAGCAGGTTAGAAATCGCAAAAAACCATGGGTTTTTGCACCTCGACCACGCCGATCCCCGCAGAGGGTCGATTTTCGTGTAGTGTCGTCGGCACTACCCCGCCGCCCTAAGAAGAGATTTTAACTCCTCGCAAGTCAATTGCACTTGACTCCTTGCACTTGCAACTTGCACTTGACTCCTTGCATTGCAAGGAGTCATTGCAAGGAGTCATTGCAAGGAGTCATTGCAAGGAGTCATTGCAAGGAGTCATTGCAAGGAGTCATTGCAAGGAGTCATTGCAAGGAGTCATTGCAAGGAGTCATTGAGCAAAGGAGTCAGTGAGAGCCATTGCAAGTTGCAAGGAGCCAAGTGCATGGAGTGCAAGTCAAGTGTTGCAAGTGCAAGGGGCCAAGTGCAAGGAGCCAAGTGCAAGGAGCCAAGTGCATGGAGTCAAGTGCAAGTTGCAATGCAATCCTTGCATGACTCCCCTCCTTGCAATGACTCCTTGCAATGACTCCTTGCAATGACTTTCATGATGATGATTCCTTGCAATGACACCTTGTAATGACTCTCATGAGAACAACTCAAGTGAACCCAGCGGAAGAACCCTTCGCCATGCTTTCGGGAAAAAAAACAGATAAGATGTTCGGATGGGCGTGTGTGTGTGTGTCGTGCTGTTGAGAGTACCAATTGTTTGTGGTTTTCAATCGAACCAAAACAAAACAAATCGGGGTGCCCCAAAAGAAAGACACGCCCAGAGTGATGTTTAAACATATATTGACGTTTAAACTTCTTCGAGTCAAATGTTCACTATAGGCAACCAGGGGTTTACCTCTAGGTGTTGCATTATGGCCCCCATTGTCGCGCTACCTGGAATCACTAGGAATCTGTTGGGCCATGGCAACACAACCGTCTCTTCCCACATTTATCTTATCAGATCACCCCCGCCCCGGAACAAAAAATACATCCAAAAAGGTCAGGGACGTCCGCAACTCCCGGATATTTGCCCCCGGCCCAAAAAACCTGGCATGCTTTGAGTGGGGAATGCTTGACGGGAATGAACATCCGGAAAACCAACCTCTCCTAGCCTTTCTGTGACAAAAGTAGTCCGTCCTTATGCCTGCGGCACTTCGAATTGATATCGCAGAAACTTGCCCGAAACACTGCCCCACTTTAGGAAAAGAGAAAGAGGTAAAGAGAAAGGCTGGACGCGGACAGGTTGCCTCTTGACCAAGGTAGCTTGGAAAGCTTTCAACCCTGTTTTTGAGTACCACAAAAATAGCACCCACACCTATTTAGTGACCTCTAGTCCAGTTGAACTTCCCAGCAATATAGAGAGCTCAGTTGACCCCAGGAAGTGAGGTTCCCTTGTCGCAGAAATTGGACACCTTAGATATTTCCAACCCTTGGCATGGTAGTAACACACTTTGTTTTTTGGCAACCCCCTACTAAAAATGAAAAAAGAACCAGAAAAACTAAAAGCCCAAACGATCCAACATAAAGCCGAATAAAAGCCTCAAAACATGATCCAAACAAAACCAAAGCCTAAAACCCCGAGAAAACAAAGAAACAACACATGAAGAGACCTATTTTCTCTCAGGGCCAATGGCCAATGGCGCGAAGGCCTCTCCTGAGGTGCCAGCTAAGACCGGCAGGGCCACTTGACTGGTGTGCCTCGGGCCGAGAGTCGCCACCCCCCCCCCACGGCCCGTGCCTCGGGCCTCCCTTTTTGGAACGGCAAATTGATCAACTTCGGGGGAAATCCAGTCGATAGGCAGGGAATGAAAATTGGAATGACCCCGAAAAAGACCATCCCCGATTTGGTTTCCTTTCGGGAATCCTCCGGTTCATTGCCATCTGTCATTCCCTACTCGCACCAGCATGTCTCTACCAAACTGAAGGAGGTACTCAACATAAAAGCGGCATCTAGCCAAAAAGGGCAAACTGTGCCCCAGGAAAGTGGAAACGCAGCCCATCCGGGGCACCTTCGAGCCGCAGGCGAAGAACTGGAACCGGTTTTGGGGCCACCAAACAAAGGGAGTTCTGGGACTTCAGGGGGATGTCCACCAACAGGGATCCTTACAGTGAATACACCTGAACATTGCAACTTGTAAATGGTGGTGTCCCTCTCTTTTGGTGGAAAAAGCAATGTTTCAAATGGGCAAAATGTATCTTTTAAGGAGTCCTGAAGAAGAAACCCAGTTGATGCATGCCTTTCCTTACTCCCCAACAAATAAAATTGAATTCTGACGTGGCGATTCATGTCCAAACGCTCGTGACCTGGCTCCACCTCGTAAAACTTGTGGCCAAATGATTGCGGCTCAAAAAAATAGAATCACCAAAATGGCACCCTGGCGCATGGAAAGACCCAAGCCTGCGGTTTGCCACGCCCAAACAACCGGCTCGCACCACGAAAAACCCTCCGTAGTCCCCGGCGGGGTTGCGACCACGCGCGCCGCCAGGAAGCACCTCCAGCAGAGTCGGTCTCTCACAGTTGGCCGCTCCAGACGTGGAATCCCGAAAATGGCACCAAAGGAATCCAAGACTCAAAGGCCCAAAGACCTATGGAACAAAAGACCCAAAGGAACCCTTGGATCCAAAAAATAATCCAATGGGAGCTTCACGATACGTATGGATCCCGGAAAGGAGTCACAAGCTGTTTGGGTGGTTTCCACGTGAAATGTGGTGGAATGCCACCTTGGATCCAAAGACTGAAAGACCCGAAATGGTAGGGTCTAGGCACACGAATGATTGCTAATACTGTGGATGGTTGCGAGTCCTCCGCTTCTCGCACCACTATAAAACCATGGCTGAAACCACAACGTTTGTTGGGTATTTACAGGGGAATTGCCTCATTCCAGGGTTTCTCAGGTGGTGCAAGATTCCGTCCATCCACGTAGAATCCCCCCCCCCCCGCTGCCCAAAGAGCACCTGGGTAAATGGAACCAAAGCCTCAGACCTGCGGTTTGCCCCAGCTCTTGAAGTTTATGCCACGCACTGCCATGATTCAGAACCCAAAAGTGACAAAGCTCAGCTCAAAGTCCGAAAACTGGGGAAGCGTCTGGTTTTAGGTGCGTTCGCAAAGCCGGGTTTTCGGGAAATCCGTCTTGTAAAGATCTGGGCGTACCTTCCATTTCCACTCTTTCCAGGCATCCTTCTTTCCAAAGATTCTCAATCTTCAGGAGATCAGCCTGGATCGCGGTTTTTGCAGCCAGTGGAAGATGGGATCAACACGTGCCCGAAAAAAAGGCAAGGCTTTTCACTTTTTGGAGGTCCAGAACTCCAATCGGCGGCTCCGAGCTCGGCTCCCTTTTGAAGGGTGGCCAGGGTACGGTTCCCCGGTCAGTCCATTTCCCTGTATAGCTTGCAAGCCTCCATTTGCTTTTTCGCCCCCCCGGGAAAAATAACTAATTTCCAGTAGTGACAGATTCCCTTTAAAACCAACAAGGGAAAATACAAAATATCCCTAAGCAAAAGAACCAACATTTAAAAACCAAAAGGAAAATGACTCGTTGCCGATGGTGGAGGTAACTGGGATCCCGGGTTGATCCACAATTGGAACATAAAATGTTGCAGCCTTTGAAGCGCACACCAGCGCCATGGAGAAAATGCTCTTTGGGCTATGGCCGCCTTCGGCTTTTTTGGACCATGGAACGCGTCCTAGCTGAGAACCGTGCTGCAAGGAGAGCATCCAGAGCAGGAGCCCGATGGGCGAGAGCAGGAGGACAGAAGCCGCCTGTCTCGGCTGTTTTTTGCTTTTCTTCTTCTCTCGTGGCTTGGCGGAAGCTCTCAAGCACATGTTTGTGGAAACTGGGGGGGGTGCTTTCTTCATACACGTCCGGCCAGAATGATGTACACCTCCACATTCCCTGCAAACATTGGGAAGGGCCGCAGCTTCCAGCAGATTTTGGCAAGCCCACCCTGCGGGAGTAAAGGGTCCAACCGGAGAGCCGACCACAAAGCACCATGCGCGCATCCCAGAACCCATGTTACAATGTTAGAACCATAACTAGGTCCTCAAGAGGTTAGAATACGGGTGCCAGCTTTTTTTTTTTGGTCTATTTTAGTAGGGGAACCCTCCCCCAAAAAAAGGGTGAGAAAGGGCACTACTGCAAAACCTGAATAAATTGGGACACACCAAAAAAAAGATGAAGCCGGTCTCCCGCTTCACCCAGCCAAACCACGCCTTCTGCGGCGACTGGAGGGCTGCCTGCCCTCGGCCTCGTAAAAATGCGCATATTTGAGCCCGCGTGTGCGCGTGTGTGCGTGTGTGCGTGTGTGCGTGTGTGCGCGTGTGCGTGTGCGCGTGTGCGCGTGTGCGCGTGTGCGCGTGCGCGCGTGTGTGCGTGTGTGCGTGTGTGCGTGTGTGCGTGTGTGCGTGTGTGCGTGTGTGCGTGTGCGCGTGTGCGCGTGTGCGCGTGTGTGCGTGTGTGTGCTTGTGCGCGTGTGTGCGTGTGTGCGTGTGTCGTGTGTGCGTGTGTGCGTGTGTGCGTGTGTGCGTGTGTGCGTGTGTGCGTGTGTGCGTGTGTGCGTGTGTGCGTGTGTGCGTGCGTGCGTGCGTGGGTGCGTGGGTGCGTGGGTGCGTGTGTGCGTGTGTGCGTGTGTGCGTGTGTGCGTGTGTGCGTGTGTGCGTGTGTGCGTGTGTGCGTGTGTGCGTGTGTGCGTGTGCGTGCGTGTGCGTGTGTGCGTGTGCGCGTGTGCGTGTGCGCGCGTGTGCGCGTGTGCGCGTGTGCGCGTGTGCGCGTGGGTGTGTGTGTGTGTGTGGGTGTGTGTGGGTGTGTGTGTGTGTGCGTGTGTGCGTGTGTGCGTGTGTGCGTGTGTGCGCGTGTGTGCGTGTGTGCGCGTGTGGGCGTGTGTGCGTGTGCGTGCGTGTGTGCGTGTGTGCGTGTGTGCGTGTGTGCGTGTGTGCGTGTGTGCGTGTGTGCGTGCGTGCGTGTGTGCGTGCGTGCGTGCGTGCGTGGGTGCGTTCGTGCGTTCGTGCGTTCGTGCGTGCGTGCGTGCGTGTGTGCGCGTGCGCGCGTGCGCGCGTGCGCGCGTGCGCGCGTGCGCGTGCGCGTTCGCGTGCGCGTGCGCGTGTGCGTGTGCGTGTGGGTGTGGGTGTGTGTGTGTGTGTGTTTGTGTGTGTGTGTTTGTGTGTGTATTTGTGTGTGTATTTGTGTGTGTGTATTTGTGTGTGTGTATTTGTGTGTGTGCATTTGTGTGTGTATTTGTGTGTGTGTATTTGTGTGTGTGTGTATTTGTGTGTGTGTGTATTTGTGTGTGTATTTGTGTGTGTTTGTGTTTGTGTGTGTGTTTGTGTTTGTGTTTGTGTGTTTGTGTGTTTGTGTGTTTGTGTGTTTGTGTGTTTGTGTGTTTGTGTGTTTGTGTGTTTGTGTGTTTGTGTGTTTGTGTGTTTGTGTGTTTGTGTGTTTGTGTGTTTGTGTGTTTGTGTGTTTGTGTGTTTGTGTGTTTGTGTGTTTGTGTGTTTGTGTGTTTGTGTGTTTGTGTGTTTGTGTGTTTGTGTGTTTGTGTGTTTGTGTGTTTGTGTGTTTGTGTGTTTGTGTGTTTGTGTGTTTGTGTGTTTGTGTGTTTGTGTGTTTGTGTGTTTGTGTGTTTGTGTGTTTGTGTGTTTGTGTGTTTGTGTGTTTGTGTGTTTGTTTGTGTGTTTGTGTGTTTGTGTGTTTGTGTGTTTGTGTGTTTGTGTGTTTGTGTGTTTGTGTGTTTGTGTGTTTGTGTGTTTGTGTGTTTGCGTGTTTGCGTGTTTGCGTGTTTGCGTGTTTGCGTGTTTGCATGTTTGCGTGTTTGCGTGTTTGCGTGTTTGCGTGTTTGCGTGTTTGCGTGTTTGCGTGTTTGCGTGTTTGCGTGTTTGCGTGTTTGTGTTTGTGTTTGTGTTTGTGTGTGGGTGTGCGTGTGCGTGTGCGTGTGCGTGTGCGTGTGCGTGTGCGTGTGCGTGTGCGTGTGCGTGTGCGTGTGCGTGTGCGTGTGCGTGTGTCGTGTTTTGTGTATGACCTCAGCAAGTCTCTTTCTAACCCTTAATTTCCGCGGATGCAAGCGCACTCCTGTTTTATCCCGCGTTTGACATGCAGTGGGTATGTTGCACTTTGCCATGCCATTGGGGGCTTAGGGGTCATTATTTGCTGACTGGTGTCTGCCTAGTTTGACGCATAGCCTAGACCAAGACATGCCAAAACTTGTTTCTGAGTCCCTCCGGGTTTGGAGCGAAACGTCGGGTCCATGAACAGACCCCATAACATAAGACTGCATCCCCGGCGTTTCGCCCTTGGAGAACAACCATTTTCCTTTTGGCTTTGAGTGGTTCTCTTGGCTATGCAGCCGAGTGGATCCACTGGCCTCAAGAAGGAAGACTTTTCCCACCCGAACTCGCGACCCGACCCCCATCGATGAAAACCTCGCCGCAGAGCCCGGCGGAGGTAGGCCCCAGAGAGCTGCAGAATCGATGCCTGAGCGACCCCGAGTTGCCAACGCCTTCCAAGGAGTGGAGAGTGCGGGCAATGCATGTTCATGGCCCTTCGAGCAACCTCCCCCCCAAAGCAAAAAAACAAACAAACAAAAGATCAGGTGGTGGAACAAGACAGAATGATTTCTATATGCTGGAACCTGAAGAAGAGGAAGGAGAAGATTGCTACTGGACAGAAGATGAAGAAGGAAATGAAGGCTTCAGCGGGAACGAGGACCAGACATCTTGGGTCCTTGAAGATCACGACGCATTTGCAGTAAGAAATCAAGGTGTCACGGCGGAAGTTGAAGGACAGGAAGAAGAAAAGGAAGAAATCGAAAGCCAAACAGGTGCTTGCTGGCTTCCGCAACTTCTGCGGCACTGACTTTTTCCATTATTTTTTGGCGGCAAACTCGATCTTACTTCGCACTCCGCGAAAAAAAGACCCAGAACTGAAGGCCTGTTTGTTTGCAGGAGCCCTCGGGTGCTTTCTGCTCCCCTGCTACAGGTTTAAGTCTTAGTGGTTTAATGGAAAACCCGTCGGTTGACAAAAAGCTAAAGTCAACCAAAAATCCTTTTAAAATGCACCAAAGAAACAACATGCTGGATCTTTGGGGCTCCTTCTATCGCCTCCTGGCACTCTCCCCCCAAAGTTTTCGGCGGGCGCGACAAATTGGCCGACGCCGGCCTGGATCTCCGGGACGGCCGAGCGCTGGATGGCCAACAGCGCAGAGCCTAGCGCGGAAGGTTTTGGAAGGTTTTGGAGCTATGGAGCTTTGATACCACTTCTTTAATGTTGACCCAGGATTTTTTTACCCGTCCCATTATTAGGGGGGTGTTCCCCCCAAAAGTGGTCTGAATCCCCACTAAAAGGGGGACACCCCCCGATCAAACTCAACCAGGGGTTGCTCTTAATCCGGGGTCAACATTAAGGGGAACATACCTTTACATTACAACCCTGGGCATGGCGGCCAAAAACAAACTGGATCAAACTGGTGTTTTTTGCAGCCCCCTACTACAAATGGACAGAACCAAAACAAACAATCAACCCACAAACTTGCTAACAAGAACGAAGATACGGCCATGCAAGCTGAAAACTGGTGGCAAGGACCCATACCTCCAAAACCCCATACCCTGGATTCTGTTGGCCCCATGATTTTACCACCCACGTAGGTTGAACCAAAAACTGCCCCTGTCCGACGTGAAAAAAAAGAAACGGACCTAAGCAGAATCATGACCACAGCGGCAAAATCAAGACATCCCCAAAAAAGGGGACACGGTTCCAGGGAATTTTGAACTTTGATCAACTCACTTCCTGAGTTGATGGGCTAAAGGAAAAGTCCAAATCGATTTACCACTAAAATGGCGGTATCCCAACCAGGTTCTAACGTCCATGAGCTTTGGAAGTGAGTCGAGTACAGGTTTTCACGGGTGCCTTATGAAAACTTTCACATGCCCAAGCCTCAAGGACTGGTCCCCCTCAGCCACTCCGGGCCTGAGCAAAGCGAGTGCAAGCCGCAGAGAACGGTATAGAGGCCCACCAGGCTGCCTGACGCCCAAGGATCGGCTTGCCCCTTTGGATTGGTGGGTTGGATTTGTGTTATTAAGAAATAATTTCCCATCTACCCACTCAGCCCATCATGCCCATCTCTCTAGATAAGTGGTTGGCATTGGTGGTTTGGGTCGAAGGGAAACCCTTTCAAGTGGATGGATTATGCAGATATTCAGTAGCATCCTTCGTTGAACCAAGGCTCCAAATCCCTAAAGCACCAAACCAACCCATCACATGGTTACTTGAGGGGAAAGAAGTTACCCAAGAAACCTGAAAATGCAACAAAGCGTAAGCATTAAGCCAAAGTGGGGGAGTTATGGCATCTCTCAACTGTACAGTTGAATGCCTCTACCCCTTCCCGGACTCCGTCCATTCACAGTACCGCTTGTCACGCCATTGTTCAATTGGTTCCTTTTACTCCCCTTTGGTGGCTTCATCAAACACAAGTTGCCTTGCGAGAGAAGGGACCCCTTTCCCAAACACAAGAACGGCAAGGATGCCACATATCCTGGGCACATAGTCCCTCTGTGCAATCCTGGAAGTGGACAGGATCAATAGGTGCCCCAAAGTAAAGGATCGACCAGTGCGTTGGGCGGGCGGCGTGCGGGCCGAGCCAAGCTCCAATTGTTCGGATTAGACAGGGCCACAGCCGGGATTTCGCTTGCTTCTCCAAGAGGGCGTGGACGTGCATTGGCCCAACAGCAGGGTCAGTTGCCCAACCTGTTGCATTCGCATTTGCAAGTAACAATGCATTTAGCCGCCCAGCGACAAACATATATCTGCAATTTCTTTCAGCCGCTCGCTCCCGACTTGCAATGTTCAGGCAATCCACCGTAGAACAAAACATGCATGCTGAATACTTGCAACTCCTATGGTCCGAGATATCTTTGTTCGAATGTAGGTCCTCCAGTAGAGAGGCTAGAACAAGTTGGTGCCAGCTTTTTTCCTGTGGTCTAGTTTAGTAGGGGAACCGAATCTCCCCCAAAAGGGTGAGAAAGGGCACTACTGGGAGACCTAGTATTGTCTAATGGCACCACCAACCCGTTCCACCTCGCAAACCCATTCCCATAGGTGGCCTTTTGGAAAAATATGGAAATCTAAACCAGGGCCCTATTTTTTAAACAAACCAACCAACAAAGGACACCTATGCCCATTCCAGTTGTTTAAACCCGAAAGTTGGAAGCAAATTGCCCCAACGTCTCGGCACCGAACTGGCCCACATGTCCAGAGCCTGCCAAGCTGGCAGTGAGTTCGGTGGCCGACCACCTTAATGCTGGCTGGCATCCAGGTGTTTTCAAGCTGGAGAACTGATCCTATCTGGGTCTGCGTGTTTTTGAGGGTGCCCCTTTGATGTGGTTTTGAAGGGCCACCAAAAGGAAAACCACCTGTTGCTTTTTTGGTGAGGAGGGGGGGTTGACAGGGGGTCCCCTAAAGAAAGACAGATCCATTTTCCAGCACCTCCTCTCATGCAACCAAAGCCCTCGACAATCGAGAACCCCACTTTGCCATGGCACCGGACTGAGGGTCTCTTCCAGATACCCCCCCACTCAATGCTACCCAGAAATGGTTCGACTCCCCAACGTAAATGTCAACGTTAACAGTGGCTTCAACGATGGCTTGATTCCGTGGTGCGGGAAGCGGATTTTGCAACCATCCACAGCATTTGTGGGAGGACGGGTATTTTGTATCTAAGTTGTTGTTGTTTTTATTACACCCTGGGAATACACCCACTGGGTATTGACCCCATGTAGGCACATTTCCGGATAACACCGTGTTATTCTGAACCATTCTGGGTCATTTCCGGGTGTACTCCCAGGGTGTAATACAAAAACCCTCAGATTGTGGCAGTGGCCTCAAAGCCTTCAGGCTAAGGCCCTCGCACTATCCCCATGGCTGCAGACGAAGGCTATCAGCCGCCAGGGCCCGTGCTTCTTGGGTATATGCTGCAAGGCTTTTGCATGGAAGATACCCTCTTTCAGTCAGGGGTTGATCATCTATGCCCTTACAAAGTGGATGCTTCGAGTGGGCGGTGAAACTGGTGAAGCTGGAAATCGTGACCGAAAGGTCGAGTGGAGCCCCCACCTACCGCTTCTCTTGTCGGTTACAAGCCTTGCGGTCGCCCAACGACGAGGCTTCAAGAACGTCCGGCTTCAAGAACGCCCACCTATTGCTGGCTTGAGAGCGGCCAGGTTTGAGAGGCTGCCTTGATCTACCACTTTGCTGAGTCAAATCCCAAGAGCTACGTTGGACGCCCCTGAATATTGCAAGCAAATCAACCAGTCACCCACAGAACCATGGCACTTTAAGGTAATCGAGGGCCGCTCGTGCTCGTTCTTTATCGAGGGCATCCACCTTTGACAGCACCCTGTGCCAGGCATTCCAATGCCGCAAACAAACCCCCCCCCCCAAAAAAAAAAAAACTAATCCTCCCGCCCTTTTGATGGCGCGTTCCTGGCAAAGGGCCCCACGCAAACCAGCCATGCTGAAGCCCTATTTGGACACACGGCACCACCGTTCAGAAACCTAAATATTAACCAGTCATGATGTCAGCCAAGAAATTCCAAGTGGTGCGATTTCTGGATTTCGCAACCCTCCGCGTGTGGCTCCTCTTTTCGGGGCGCGACCTTTACATTCCATCCGCCTTCCCGCTCAAGCCGAAGAACGATCCGCACGCGGGAAAACGCCGCGCGGTTTGGTCGTTTTTTCCTTCCAAGCGCGGATCGCTCCGAGCTACTGCTTGCTGACCTCTTCAAAGTTCTCTCCTTAGGCGAACCAGGGAAGGGAGCCTGTAACTTGGGTTGTGTTGGAGGGTGGCTTTGCAGCCAACCGACAACTCCTGAATTTGCAGGGAGTCCACCAATTTTGACACATACCCCCCATGTTTTGTGGGGTTTTCCCGGAGATTTCAGTCGCTCAACGAAGGAAACCGCGCCATCCCAACTCCCACCATCTGATCTGGCATGAAACCTGGCTGGGGGCGTGCCGGATGATGTTCCTCTCTTTAGGGGCCCTCTGGTACACAGGGGTCACTGGATTTCCCTTTAAGTTGATCAAGCTACTGGTGGGTCCCGTTGAAACGATCACCGCTTTTGCAGGCAACCTTTGAAGAAACCCTGGGGCAGGGAACTTTTGTTTTGGTCCAAGCCCAAATCTATCAAGTCCAGCAACTCTTGTGTGTGTGTGTGTGCGGGCTACTCTTGCCTAGCCCAGGGCGTGAATCAGTGAAAAGTAGAAAGTCCATGAACTCAGGGAGTGAAGCAGCAAAGATCCCAAAACGAATGGCAAACAAAGCCCCACGCCACTTGCAAAAGGCCGAGGCGCCAATATCCGGGATATCGTCGCCTGAACACAGAGCCCGCAGGAGCCCGAGCGCCAAAATTCAGTGGAACTCAATGACCGAAACCTCCATTTGCTTCTTTCGCCTATGCAAAAAATGAGACTCATGTTCCATAGATTCCTTCACATGGAGCCCAAAACCTCCCGAGATTCATATGAACAAAAAAACAAAAACAAAAAACAACTCATGGGCGGCGCGGTTCAAGAAAAAAAATCCGGCCAATTGGCCTTTCTAGGGCCCGAACATCCCTTGAACCTGTGCCACTTCCAATGATGGGCAAAAGCAAGGCTGTTTGACGGCCACTGTTTGAATGCCTTGCTAAGGTCCAGTGAGGAAAGTCCGAAATTCGGAACGCAGGAGCGAGCCTCTGAACAAATGGACACAATTGGGAATTCCTTTGTGCGGATGTGTTGCAGTGAGTTCTCCGAGTCCGGAAGATAGCTCGATGCTTGCTGCTTGATGACTTCGGACCAATCCGGAGGACGGTACACAGGGGGGTCCGCTTTCTCGGAAATGAAAGTGTTCTAGGCAGAGCTGTCAGAACACACTCAGCGACAGGTACCGACACCAGGTGAGCTGGAAAAAAAAAACCGTATTAAAACTCTTATCCCAGGATGTTTTCATTGCAAATCCAAGCGGCGGTCTTCATAAGAGTGAGGTCCCCCAAAAACATGCCCCTTAAGTGTATGAGGTCTCAGGTGTGTACACCGCTGCAAATTGTTGCTGGCTGCTGCTGCTGGCTGCTGCTGCTGCTGCTGGCTGCTGCTGGCTGCTGCTGCGGCTGCTGCTGCTGGCTGCTGCTGCTGCTGCTGGCTGCTGCTGCTGCTGCTGGCTGCTGCTGCTGCTGCTGGTGGCTGCTGGCTGCTGGCTGCTGCTGGCTGCTGCTGGCAGCTGCTGCTGCTGCTGGCTGCTGCTGGCTGCTGCTGCGGCTGCTGCTGCTGCTGCGGCTGCTGCTGCTGCTGCTGCTGCTGCTGGCTGCTGCTGCTGCTGCTGGTGGCTGCTGGCTGCTGGCTGCTGCTGGCTGCTGCTGCTGCTGCTGGCTGCTGCAACTCATTGCTGGGATCTGCAGAAACAAAGAAAATGCAAACTGCAGAAATGGGCCACTCCTGATCCAAGGCATCTACGACTTGCGCGCGACTTGCGCGCGACTTGCGCGAAAATGTAGCAATCTTCCGGATTCTTTCGACCATGCGGATGATGATGATGATGATGATGATGATGATGATGATGATGATGATGATGATGATGATGATGATGATGATGATGATGATGATGATGAATCACTGCGTCACTTGCGCTTCACTTGCGCTTTACTTGCGCGGCCCCATGTTTGACTTGCGCGGCCGCTCCTGCAACACACTCCTGCCATTCAAATTACAAGCGGCGGTGCAGCTAATTTGATAGGTCCAAAAGACCTGGGATCATGCCTTACATTGACACATACAACGTTTTTTTTTTTTTTTTTTTTCCGACTCAGGTGGGTTGGACAAAACTCGGATGACCCACCTGACAACTGGTGCCAATCGGCACGGATTCTTAGCCCACAAAAAAACAGTGTGACAACTGAGTTGGAAGATGCTCAGGAACCTGGGTTTGTTTGTCTTTCTCCGAAAGCAGGTCGGGTGGACCGGGGCACCTTTTAAAATCGGCCACAAAAGACCTTCAGAGGCTCCGGGGCTAGGTTTTGCTTTCAAGTTGGTTGAGCCCCCACAAGTCACACGCTCAGCCTCCCACAAGTTCGGGACCCGAAAACGCCCCTAGTGGATTTGCCAAAAGAAAGTCCCGGAACTGCGGATTTAAGCACAAGAATGGTCCAAACCCAACAAGTGACTAAAGTCCAGTCAGGTTCTGAGATGCCCTCAACTTCCTGGCTCTCAGGGAATGAGTTGCCTATAAACCAGCCCCTGGTAATTTTTCCTTCAAGAGACCTGCACGTCATATTCCCCTCAGATCATCCTAAAAAACGCATTCGGCTCGCTCGCATTCGGCTCGCCCATGGCGCACGGCCCGGGCCGCACCTCCGGCGTCGTTCTGGGCGGACGCCTGGAAGCCCTCGGCGATCCGTCTCAGGTTCGCCAAGTTGTCCGCGCCCAGCCTGACATCCCGCGAGCGAGATCGATCGATGCGGAGCGATGCATCGGATTGGGGTGGGGCTGGTCTGGATGGGCCGAAGAAAGGGGGGGAACGAAGCAGGTGCTTAAAGCTGAAGGGGAGGCAACATGGGAACCGACCACTTTCCTTTTTCATGGGTTCCAAGTATCCCAGGACCATAATCAGAAATCGGCGGGACTGCATGTGGCAGGAAATATATTTGGACCAGCTCCAAAACCAAGGAACTGGGGGAGCTCACTTGCCCCTCCTTCCATGGCATGTCAGGTTCGGACAATGTCCAGCCCAAAACTCCGAGGATCTTAGTCGTAAAAATTGGCCTCCACGTTGAGAGGCCGGCTCCAGGCTCTCGTGATCTCTGGCTAAGGCTGAAGTGGCCACGTTTCACGGAAGCCCCGCTCCATTGGTTTGCCGTTCACATCGAGGGCAGCACTGGCTGTCGTCACAAGCCTGTCCCTATTGGAAGCCTTCGACTTCAGGATTGCTTCCAAGACCCCCAAAAAAAAACGGGGTGCCATGGTTGTTTTTTTTCGCCAATCGCAGTTCAGGGGCGCTTCTATCCAGGAAAATTGTGGTGTCCTGTTGGTCTGCTGAGAAAACTTGGTTGACGTTGGAAGGGGAGCAAAATTTAAATTTTAGCAGTTAAGTGGTTGGATTTCAACCACTAAACCACAAAAAGCAAAAATGTAAAATGCTTCCCGACGACAACCATGAAAAAGGGGGCCTTCCTTAAAGTGTCCCTTCCAAAAAAGAACCCCCAAGGTTAGAGCGAGGTCTTGGGTGCTGCCCGATATGGCTATGAATTAGAAAAGGGAACTGCCTGCAGAAAACGCCAAATCTTGATGTCCGGCAAAGAGTGCTCCATCTTCCATTAAGCCCCTTGGAAAAGTGATCAGAGGTCCAGCAGTGACGGATTCACATTCAAACTAGCAGGGGGAAAAAAAAACATATGGCTGCGGGTCAAAAAATGTACCAAAATGGCACCCAACCTGCCTAACCCCAGTTGTTTAATTTTGAGCCAGAATTTGGGTTTGAATTTGAAACTGGGGATTCAATCTTATTTAGACTCAATGTCCAGTAGTGAAATCGACTCCCTTTAAAACCAACAGCTGAGAATATAAGATATATTCTCTTCAGCAACTCACTTGCTGAGTGCCCAAAAAAAAGTCCAAGCTTTCTATACCACTAAAATGGTCCAAACCCACATAGTTTCTAAAGTCCATGAACTCAGGAAGTGAGTCGAGTACAGGGTTTTCACAGGTGCCCTCCGATGAAAGTGCTCCTGCGCAAGCCTCAAGGACTGGTCCAGGAGCAGCCACACCCGCCAAACCCTTCAGCACACGGAACCAAAAAACAGTTTAGACCCCATGTCCAGTAGTGATACATTTCCTTAAAAACCAGCAGCTGAGAATATAAAACCTACTCTTCAGCAAATGGAAGACATAACTCACAGCTTTAAAACCAACCGCTGAGAATAAACCATATTCTCCAGCAAAT